GAGAGAGAGAGAGAGAGAGAGAGAGGGGCAGATTCCTTAGGCACACAGACTGCGAGGCTGTATTTTAGATATCACGTCGCTTTCTCCCTCCCCCTCTCCCCGCCTCTGCACACGCTATAATGACTCTATTTTCGGCGCGTTTCTCGCATTTTTGCAAGCTTGTAATGGACGCGCGCTATCACGGCTGAAGATCTCGCACGAATGTCGAATTAGCCGGAATTCGGCCGATTGCGTAATATATCAGAAAAAGGCGGAGTGTGTGTGACGAGCGGGAGCTTTTTTTTTCGATGGTTATCTATTAAGGGATCCGTGTTAAACGGTAAAATGTAAACCTGTTGGAGTCGATCGACGATTGAAAAAAAAAAAAAAAAAACTGCTGTGCGCGCATCGCTACGGCATATTTTACGAGATATTATGTATATGTATTCTCGACTGAGATATCAATCATGCTTTGATGGCGTATTGGTTATTGAAATCGTTACGGATTTCACGGGGATAACGAGGAAGTGACAAATTATTACAAGATCCTGCGTCGAGAGTCTTTAAACGAGTGACTCTGACCATTCGTAGGCGCGGAAAACGCCCAATGAGCAACGAGGTCTTTTCTTTCTATCTGTTTCTCTCTCTCTCTCTCTCTCTCTCTCTCTCTCTCTTTTATTATTCGCGTGGGATAATTAAAATCAGTACACCCGCCACCGCGTGGAGACAAGCGAGCATCGCAAGCACCGCAGCGGAACAAGACCAAGTGGAATACATTCGGAGCAGGGACTGAAGCAACAAGTGACGAAGCACGCTCGAAAATAGCATCGAACGCGCAGCTTTCGAACGCTCGCAATCATCGGGAAGCAAGAGCGTCGCCGTGCGCAAATATATGCATATGACCCGCGGCTTTTCGCGCGCTCTGGCGCGCAGGGAATACCGGATCGAGGCGCGAAACGTCGTAAAGCGTCTAAAGTGGCGCGCTTACACCGCGGGCCAAGCGTCAACGACCGCGCGAATGTCCGACAAAGGGGAGCTGCTCTTTTAGATCCTTCGGGATTTACTTGGCGTCGGTGAGGTGTGAACCGTGGATGAATCATGACCTCGTTTTAATAACGCAGCGCGAGTCAAAGAGGTAAATTGAACCCATTCGCGAAGAGCTTGAAACGCGAACGCTGTTGAAGTATATAACAGGAAGTTGAGAGGATGGTCGTTTCAGTTTTTCAATTGTATTTTGGCTGCGGTAAAAAGCCCATTCGTCACCGCATCGTGTATTTAAAGCGTTGCGCACTTGCCGTTCTCGAGTTCGCAGAAATTTTGAGGAATCAATTACTGCTGCAGAAGCGGTTTGTTGTAACAAGTTGCGCTGGACTTGGAATTGTGCCTTCAAATAGTCGACTCGTGCGTCGAGTGCGCCGTTAAAATGTTTCTCGGCTGGCGAATTTTTGGTACTCGTTTCGAGATACAAATTCGTGATATTTTAGAAATAATCCGAACTCCTGAACAAACAACCATTTAGGCGATCTGCGAAGATATCCATGTGGTAAACTTCAATTTTTCGTAGTGATATATATCATCCCAGCGATGCGTTTAGTGACGGCTTACCTCCAACAATTGCGTTGCTCTACACAGTGAAGCAAACTAAAAACACAACTCGTATACTCTGTCAACGAAGCTTCGCTCAAATAATATTCATCGGAACTAAAACTTATTCCGCGCACCATCGTGACTTTCACCGAACAATCCGCTATTTAACCCTTAGAAAATTTAATTCGAGTAACTGCGAATTCCCAGCTTTGTTTGGCCGTCGCAAGAGCTAAAAATAAAAAAGAAGAAACAAAGAAACCGACGGCGCTAAATAACTGAAGCGGCGCCAAGCGAGTTTGCGTTGCGAAATGCGTGCCGTGACAATAATAAACGTTTTTCACTTGTGGTCGGGTAGCCCCGTTGAGTTTGACAGATGCGCACCGCGCGAGATGTATAATCCCCGCAGCGCGCGCATTTGCGCAAGCACGATGCAACAACAATGACGAGTGGTCGAGCTAATGGGAATTGTTCGCGATGCGATCGACTGCGATATGGACGACTTAATTAACGAGCGTCGCCTAGGAATTATCCGCGCAGTCGCAACAGGTTGAAACAAGATAACAGTAATAGCCCATTAACATTATTGATCCTAGTGATTTGCAGAATTTATCGTCTTTGGTTAGGTTTAATCATCCGCGCTTTGATTTTAATTGCATTTGCTTCTTGTTCTTCTTATGTTTTAGGGAAACAAACGCGACGATTAGATCCGTCGGTTAATTGGATGATGTTGTAGGCGCCCGCTGCTTCTTTTTGATGCGATGGGCCCAAATGATTGTATACGTTTTTCGGCTTTAGGCTTTGATGAACTTTTTTATTTTATTGGAATTTTGCTTGTCGATGTTGGCTTTGACAGGTCGGCCGATTTTTTTTTCGCGATGCCATACTTGTTTGATTATGTAGTCGGCAAGTTGTGGCTTCGGAAATTTGTATAGATATGCGTTGGTAATTGCAAACAAACGGTGGCTCTCGATATATTTGCACAGAACTGATCAATAAATTTTCGATTTTTATTTTCCTGTACATGCTGATAGATAGATTTTAATAGAACTTCTTATTTATTATTTAACGAATTTGCTTTCTTAATTGAATAAATCAACGTAAACATCAGCATCGTTCGATTAAAGGCACAAAATTTAACTCCAGATTTTAGTATTTTTGTAAATTGTTGAATATTTCATAAATATTCAGCACTCAATACAAAAATTCAACAACTATTATCTCTCGTTACAACAAGACACGTGACTGAGAGAGTAGTAGTGCCAAAAAATCCAAGATCTTATGCAGCTCTCATACGCGGATATTATACGCATTGTCCCGAAACCTCCGTCTGTCACGACCTACTGAAAAATTCGACGAGCCAAGATTTATGCCGGCATAATGACCCAGTGTCAACGAGACCTCGCCATTCATCGTTCCGACATCGAAACTATCCTCGTGTATACTTTCTTTCTCTTTCTCTCTTCCCCTCTCTCTCTCTCTCTCTCTCTTCATTCATTCGTTCAAGAAAAAAAGTCGGGATACATACGTCGAACATGGTGTGTTCGATAGTCATCTCTCCGATTCCCATCTACGCGAAGGGAAGGAGATGAGAAATAATTAATATGCCGTAGACGCACGCATAACGAGAACGGTGGAGAAGCTTGACGATGTGTGTTTGTTTTCGGCCTCCCTAGGGCCCCTTGAGTTATTTCTTTGGCCTCTCCGCAACAAGCGACAGCGTCGACCTCCCGCTGCTTTCTCTCTCTCTCTCTCTCTCTCCCTCTTTCCCCTTCGCTCTTATCTCAGAAAAGAGCCCACACGACGAGCGACAGACAATGTCTAACCGATATTATACACGCATACTTTTTTGCGCGGCATTTCGATCGAATCTCCGCGAAATTGGCTGACCACAATGTCGAGCAACGAATGACGTGCGTGTACTTTCTGTTCGCGCAGCCGAAACTCGTCGACAACGCTAACAAAATTCACGCCGAAAAAAAATTCATAACCAATAAAGACTGGAAGCGCATCGGTAAATCGAGCAAAAAAAAATTAAAAAAAAAAGACTGTCGCCTTTCTCAAAGCCCTCGAAAAAGCGGCAGCGAACGGAGGAAGGCAGAGTCTTCTCTCTTAGACATTCCAGCTCTTCGTGGCTCTTAATCGTTCTTTTGTGACTCGACTGTTTTAGCGTTTTTTATTCGGCGAAGGCCTCCGGCGAAGGAGAGGGAAGCGCGCCGCAAGCTTATTAGCGACGAACGAAGAAGAAGGGAACATGCCCCCTTACCGTCGTCGCCCATCGAATATCCTCTCTCCCTCTCTCTCTCTCTCTCTCTCTCCTCCAAAAGACAAAGGGATCTCTGGCTGCGATTTTTATTTACTCGACGCATGCCAAGCGACCGGGACTGTGCGTATATCGATGCTTTATAGCCCAGTTCGATCGTAAACTCTCTCGCGCAGAGACTTGTTTTGTACGGGGACGACGAGCAACAAGACATGTCGCGTCCAATGACTCAATTGTTTTTTTTGCTCGCGAAAGAGAGGCCAACTTTTAATTATTGATTGGCAGTGTGCTCGCGCCGGGCGTATCTGCTTGACAAGCGAGAGGGGCTGCGATCGCGACTGTAAGTATTAGACCGGTCTGTCAATTCGATTGTGCGATCGTTCCTTCGTGCGCCGCGTGGCGCGTCAACGCTCGCTGCGAGCGATACACTGACATTAGTATCTGGAAGCGGTATGGTCGCGCGATAATTCGCGCAGCGCTAATTAAGACGAGCCGACGTTGATTGATCCAGTGGTACGACAGCGGCGGCGGCGGCGGCGGCGGCGATTCAATTCCAAGTACGCACGCTGAATCCGATTAATCAAGGCGTACATTTTTTTCTCCTTCGTGGTCGTTTCTCGGCCTCGTGTCGCGCACCATCGTAATGAACTTTGAACGCCAACGAGGGAAAATAAGAGCAGAGCGCGCGCGTCGGGAGGCCGCGCTCGTAGCCTTCACGCGCAGCGAGAACGGCGCCGAATCAGTCGTAAGACGAAGAATTCGCGTATAAAGCTTTTTCGGTGCGCGCATAAAACACACGTAGCCATATTATCTTTATAACTTTTACGACTCTCTCGCTCTCTCTCTCCCCCTCGTTACTTTTAGATCACTTATAGATACACGCATACGCCCTTTGATCATTGCCGTTGCGACTCTCGCACCGTTTTCCATTTCGGCGTTTGGAGGTCCAACATGCCAAGACCTGTGGAGCGCATTCCAATCAGGATATCCGAGGGAGGAGAATGGCGCGCGCGTGACAGGGAAGAGACCACCCACGAGAGCGAACGAGGTCGTGCGAGTGTACAACGATGCTCCCTCGACAAGAGTGATGCGCATCTCGTGGCTGGTCTGCGAAAGCACCAACCAGCGTGTCCAACGAAATAACGAACGGGCCCCTCTCTCTCTCTGTTTGCAGACTTCCCGGCCCGGAACGGCAACTCTCATCATCACCGCGCGGACCCGAGCAAGCTGTCGCGCGAGGTGCGCTGCTTTTGCAACCAGCCCCACTGCGTGTCGCAAGGCTACATGTGTCGCGGTCGCCACGGCTGCTTCACCGAGCTACCCACGCACGTGAGCGCGCGACCGGAGCACGCCGTGTACAGCGGCTGCCTGGAGCAGAGCTCCGGTGAGCGCCAGTGCCCGCAGGGCAAACTCTGCTGCCAGCAGGACCTCTGCAATCACGTGGACAGCCCGGCAATGAGGAGTCGCCTCAACAAGACCCTCCAAGGTGAGCCTTCTCCCTTGAGTTGCTTAGGCTCGGGTTAAGACTGAGTGGCGCGCGCTCGTTCCAGTGCTGCGACTGTTTGGCCGCGTTCCGAGGTGATCGCAAGCGTGTCGCACTTGTTTGCCTTGCTTTGCAGCGACCCAGCGTCGAACGATAATAGTCGCCGATGATTGAATCGATCGCGTATATGCGCGCCAACTGTTTCAGTGGCGGCAATCAGTCGCGCACGGGACTCAAACGTTTGTCTTGATATCCGAAGCAATCGGGTCAACAGCTGCACTATGAATAGGCTTGTTTCGTTGAGCGAATCTCTTTTCCTGCGTTTCGTACGCTGGTATCGGTACTTTAATTCATCACCAAAGCTTCTTTGCGTTTGTTTGTTGCAGTATTACTAGGTGAGCAGCGAACGTATATCGGCTCGATACAGCCAGCGATGGGTCAAGCGGTGCAAACGTCCGATGGCTGGTTCAAGACAGCAACGATCGCAGTGCCAATTTGTGGCTTTGTCGTGCTATTGATCCTTGCGTCGCTTGCTATACGATTGCTACAACCAATACCGTCGCAAGGTGACAAACTTAATGGGCTGATAACGCCGGAAATGACACCGCCTTTACTTGGACATCATCACCATCATCATCACATTATCCATCATCATCCCAATAAATTGCCCCTCGTCTAAGAGACACGCGTAATGTTTATATCAAGGGCCAAAGACTTTCAACATTTTTTTTCTTTTGACGACATATACTCTGTTTTTCTTTCCTTTATCTCTCTCTCTCTCTCTCTCGCTCCCTCTTTCATTCACATAATGCTTTTCCAGTTTCCAGCAAAATTTCATCATTTTTGTTTCACGCATCATTATGTTCATATTGTATAGCGATTTTTTTTTATTATTATTGTTTGCGAACCCGATTGCGAATCTCGTCTTTTTTATTTTGTATAGGAAATACTTTTTTTTCTATCGACTAAGTAGGACTTTTCTTCTTCGGATTTTTTCATGCGACGATTAGATTTGGAAAATTTCAGACGAACAATTGCGCAAAATAGATTGGCCTTCATTTTTCATATTATTTTTTCTTCGTAAAGCTCTTCAGTTTCTAGTCATTTGCTTCGTCGCAAAGAGCTGTAGAGCAATTTTTTGTTTCACTTATTTCCAAAACTGTACCAGCGACCGATTTTCACACACAGTTCAAAGTTCTATAGCGAGTCTCAAATTAAATGAGCCTTATTGTAGATAAGACGTAGATGAGATGATTGTCGCCTTAAGAAATTTTTGAATTTGTATAGATTTTATATAAATTATTGCCTTGTAGCTCGTATGTAATGATTAAGAGTAAAAAATAAGGCTAGAGTTTAGGTATCACATTTGCGATTGATATAAGATCTATCTTGTGAGTAAAGGTTTTTTAAAGATATGTAGCAGTGGCATTTTTGGACTTACGATTGAGGTTCTGCCAATTTTATATAGAACAAATATATACATATTGCATAGTAATGCAGCTCTGCGCAACTTTCAATGTAATTCAAACTCATCTTTTGACACTTCAATGAACTGCTTGATTTTCATTTCTCTTTTCAACTGTATCAAACCATGAAAATTTCATAAGTGTGCCTCACATAAGTTCTATACGGCTGTGAATTTCTCTGAACTAACGACATTGTACATTATTTTCTTCTCTAATTTTTAAGTTTTGCTATAAATAAACAATACTTTTTTTCACTTTATTTGGTTTCAACATCACCGACATTAATTCAATTACGTTGTACGAATGTGTGTTATTTGTATTTTTGAATAAAGAATGAATTATTGCTTTTTTATACAAGAATAGTTGTAAATAAAATATGGGAGAATAAACTATTTCATATTCAGTGTGACATTTATGTTTAGTCGTTTTGTTCTAAAATGTACTTCTTTATTTCGTGCAATTAAAGTAATTAATTGTTTTTGTACTTTTATTAACAAATTTATAAAATTTACTTTTGATCAACTTGAACGATTGTTATTCATGATTGTCTGCCTTCAAAGAAGTATAACGCATAAATGCCATTACTTATGTTATCTAGAACAAAACGTTGCTGAAGAATAAAACTTTATATATTAATTATGTGTACGTAAATGGAGACAATACACGAGGAGTGCCGAATATTGAGATACGAGTGTTTTAATCATCGAGCATTAATTTAATCGTATTCCATTTAAAAAAATATAATATTGTGATAATACGATTATGCATTAATTAATGATTCTATCATACTTGTATATCGTTACTACAAATTATGTAACATGACATGTAAAACGATCATCTCGGCTAGAAAAATCCGAGGAGCCTAGGCAAAAATAATACAATATAAAATACAAAACACAGAATTTTTGCAAAAACCTGGTATTCATTTATTAATTCCTTTTAAACTCCAATCGTAGTGTTTTTCTTTTTTGTTTGTTCTCTTATTTAAATAGCTCTATACTTATTATTTTGGACATACACATCAGTTGCACGCCAACACCCACACATTGTTATTTTTCATAGACGATAAAGGGGTGCGCGTCATTTATATGTAAAACGAATTGTTCTTGTCATACTACGAATTCAGTAAGTACAGCGTCAATTATTGAAGCACCACTATATAAAAGTTTCTCGTAAATCATTTTTTCACCGTTTGTTTATTTTTTTTCATTTGTTTTTTTCTTGGCATCACAGTTCTTTCCGTAAAATCCTCTCGTAAAACAATTAAAGTTGTCGCACTGTGTCTTCGAAATAAATTACTTTCACTTGTTCTTTACTGATTAAATTTGTATCATTACCTTTTGCATCTGAAACACTTGCATTATTACACATTTTGAGTATAAAAATACTGCTTCAAGTACTTGGCTCTTTGCATTTAAAATTTTACAAGAACATTTGAAAATTGACCCAAAAGTTTAGCTGCCAAAACCTTTATTATTGTATAACATTATGAATAGCATACATATTTCATTCTAAAACTTTTGCGTCGATATTCACGTGTTCTCCAATAAGACATTGAAAGAGTGCACGTTTTTTTTATTAATCTCATGCAAACTCTCAAGAGTTGTTTATACGTATACATTATACAATAGAGCATAATATAGTAGCGTGTTCTCTAAAACATCACACCTGCGCAAAAGGAATGCTACATTATATTGTACAACGTTCACGTATTTTTTTTCATCAGTCCTTAGCAACTTTTTACATGTACAGCAACATTATTACAAAAAAAAATCTAATGCTAAATATAGACGCTTCGAATTTTCGCGCGTCTAAGAGAGAATTTCACTGAATGATTTAACGTAGGCTTCATGCAATTTGTTCATGAACTCTGGATCAGTGCGCAACAAATAATTAAAAGCTTGAAGTAGTTGATTCCTAGTTAAAGGCTCTAGTGGTCTGTTTAGTGGCTCTGGAATAGCTGGACTTGCTGGTGCAGCAAACATACCTGGAGGAATTAACGCAGGTGCTGAACCACTGGTTGACAATGATGGTTTAGGTGTAAGCTGTGGTGCAATTATGTCATCACATACATTTGACTGTAATATTTAAAAAAATTAATATTCAATTACAAATTAATGAATTTCTAAATCCAAATATTTTACCATTGTACTTTGATGGAATAAAGCTTCAAAACAAACTGGATTAGTAGGTACAGAGTTGGTCTGCTTGTGAAATGCATCACATCCTCCAAAATTTCCTGGACTTGGCTTGTGTTGACTCAATAAAGAATTTGAATGGCTTGATGTAGGTGACTGTATCCTGAGAAAACTTGAAGAACCATTTGTATCATCAGTACCTATTTGAGAATATTCCTGTTTGACCAATCCACTTGGTAATGGTGCATTTGTGTTTGATTGAGGTGGCAATTTATTTTTGAGCTTTGTGATTATTGAATTTTCACAACTGAAATCAAAATCACATTGAATTTCAACATTCTACATAACATTTCTTTTTTATTTATGACAATCACAAATACATCTTACCTTTGATTATTTAAAGCCATCATTCCTTGTGATATTGATTGAACACTAGGTTGTGGAGTTATTGACCTATGCTGCTTCTCTATGTGTTCTAATGTATGAGCTGCTGTGATGTGCACTGGATGTGACATCATTTGAGCTAATAGTGGTTTACTGTCATTGACAACATGACCTGCCTGTGGTTCAGATTTATAATGTCCAGTGTTTACTTTTGCTTTAGCAAAAAAGTCCATAACACTCTTAGATGTAACATCCTGAGCCATGCCCATAGTCGCCAATGCTCCTGATAATTCTCCAATAGCATGGCTCATTGGAGATCTAGGCTCTATACCTCTTGGTCCTCTTTCTCCACTTCCAGTTTTGTTCGTATTGAAGTCTTCTTGAGCTTTACTCAACATACTGAATATATCGACATTGTTGGCTTTCTTTTGTACAGTCTTTTTATTCTTTGGTGTTGATTTATTTATAGTATCAGATTCCTTAACTAGCTTATTTAGCATTGATGAAATTCTCACACACTCATCTTTATCATAAAACCAAATGCCATAAATGTTCCCCTTTGAGTTTTTGTACAACAAGAAAGGCTCTTGCAACTGTAAATCCAAGCCCGGAGTAACTGGCTCAACCTGGTTCTTTGTGTTTAATCTAAAAATATATAAATTGTTTAGGACACTATTGAAAAACAATGGATTTAAAAGTCAACAATGAGACAACAAGCATCTCTTTTTTAGAATTAACTAAATATTGATAATTACTGAATCACCTGAACCTTATTGCAATTGAAATTATTATGGAAAAAAAGTCAGTAAACGTAGTTGAAGTATTTACCTGTTCATGATGAGAATACTATTATAAGGCTCGCCGATGCGGGAATAGACAAAAAGTGCACCTTCAATTTCAGTTTTCTCCCATTCATTGTTATCCCCGTTGAAGGTGTACAAGGCGACATGAGTAGCAGTTTCGAGGATATCCTTAACATAAGGATCCACGCGTTTCAAAGCAGCTACGTTCATACGTAGCTCGGATACGTCGGCCGTCATGTTGTTTCTTGCAACTTCGTGCTGCTGTTGTTGCTCACGACGAGAGCACTGATTGTTATTATTCGGCCGTGGCCGTTTTTCCCTTTGTGTTGAGAGATTCGTCGTGGCGGCGATTTGGAGGTTAAAACCTCGACGCTTTCGTAATGTCAAACTAATCAACTCGCGAGGGTTCACGCGATTCTTGCTCACCTTACTTACGTCAACGCGGCTGGATGAACGTAGAGTTCAAAACTAGACTCGGTTACGTTCGTTAATTACACGCGGAAACGCAGCAGCTGCTTTTGTAACGAACGCCAGCGAACGCTATACTAAAATTTAGTGAACCGCCGCCGCTCTGTCTTTGTCTCGATATGCGTTTATTTTGTTTAGCACCGCTCTTGCGTCCTTGTCTTACTTACAAGCTTTCCAGAAATGAAAGAGAGATGGACTATGGAGAAATACCCGCCAAGCTGCTGTAAGCTGTTTCTCTTATCTGCACGGTAGCGCCAGAGTCACATTTTTTAGAACTTTGTGGAAGAATTTTTCGGAAGGTCACCACTTTATCGGCAATGGGCAAATGACGTTTTTCCTCGATCCTCGCGTACAAATCCTTTTCAAATTAAATTGAAATTTTGCAAATCGATTGGATTATATCTTATTTACGAATAAATTTTGGTCGCTGTTTGCCAGGGCTGGTAAGAAAACAAATAATTTTCATAAAATATAACACATAATTTTCTTCCATTTAATTTGTATCATCTAAAAATAAAAATTTTACAATTTGTATCCCTCAGAAAATTGAAAAAAAGCCAAAAAATCTATAATTCTGGCGCTCAAATGTTAAATTAAAAAAAAAATCAATGCTAATAGATTTCTTTTAATTTTTAGCAATTAAAAATACAAAAATTATAATTCATATCCTGTAAAAAAAGCTTAATCAAGTTTTTTAGAGTAGCATCTTTATCTATATTGCATGGCAGGGGCTCTCCAACTGGGAGTCGATAATATGGGCATGCCATGCGCGATTGCAATGATTATTTTGATGAGACATTAAATCGTGACCCGCGAAATTCAAAATTAAAATTATTTTCGACGATTCAGGATCGATTACATCAAATGGGTTTTTTTTTTGATAAGTTGCAGTGGAACAACTTGTCAAAAAAATTCTTGACCTAACTTAATTTGACGTTATCGATGCTCATTACTCACTCGTCGACAATAATTAAAATTTTGAATTTCGCGGGTTATAAATTAATGTCTGGGGGCCTATTCTGAAAAAAAATTTTAGCTGGTCAACGTATCGATGATTTTAATCACGCATGCGCATTATATAGGCTCTCTCTTAGTCAACGCATGCGTTTTGGCTACCAGAGTCTCAGCTAAGAGACCCACCGCCATCTAGTAAAGTGAAACTGAAACTGAAACTAGGCTCTCTGTTAGAAAGCCATTGCCATCCAGTAGAGATAAAGATATACACGATCAATGCTACTCTAAAAAACTTGATTTATCTTTTTTACAAAAGGGTACAAATTATAATTATGGCAATTTTAGTCGGTACAAATTAAAAGGAATCTATTAGCATTGATTTCTTTTCAAAATGCAACTTTTTCGTGTTAAAGTATAAAATTTTCGAGATTGAAAATCTCGTTCTTTTGGTTTTTTCGACTTTCCAAAGAATACAAATTGTAAAATTGTTATTTTGAGATGATACAAATTATATCGAAGTTAATTGCGTGTCATTTTTTATAAAAATAAGTTATTTTTGTATCAGGGTCTATCATATGCTTGAGAGCTAATATAGTATCAGCTGATCGGTGTAGCTTAACGAATTAGTGTTGCCATCATTGAGAGACGAAAAGACGTTGGTAATAGTTATTCGGATTATTCCCTGTGCTGCCTGTATGCTGTATGACACATAAGAAAATCAGTCGTGGAGCGATTACTCACCTTTTTTTCTAAGCCAAACAGCAGCACTGTGTGTATGTATGTGCATCACACACGCAGGATTGTTTTCAGCAAAAACGGAACGCGAGTGAGCGCGCGCTAGTCGCGCAGCAGTATTGCGTTGGAGAGCACGATGGGAAGAAAAATTTAACGTCATCCTCCAATGTCATCAATGCTGCGGGTGACTAGTAAACGAAAGCTATAATCAGTTCTCTTTGACTGCGTGCTGGCCTATATATCGTTGATTTTACGGTTATCAGCTGCGCAGCTTCGTTTTCGACTTTGTCGTTAGTAGTACCAGCTAAACGGACGTGTGTGTTGTTGCAAAACTATTATTGTTGTTTTATGGTCGGTTAGTTGTGTGTACGCGGGTGATGTTGGATGTCTCTCATGCAAATGTTGTTACTTCCTAATAGTACGAAATAATGTTGGTGCCCGTGGACACTGGATCTCGTGAGTGATCCAAACTTGAGTGGTTTTTACTCAGCAAGTGTCGTGACAACAGCTGCCAAGATGAGTTCCATCGCTCTCGAAGAGTACGAGTTGATGAAAGACTCGAAATATCGAGTGTAAGTAGTTTCATTTAATTTTAGCTTTTTTAATCGTGAGCTTTCACGGATGATTCAATATTGTATGGCCATATCACAATGAGTTCAGTTTGTCTATAGTCGTTGCGCAAGTAACACACTTCAGAAGTTTTATGGACATAAGTGTGCGTTCACAAGCAATCATTGTCTGTAATTTTTGGAGCATGAATAAATAAGATGTAAAATTTAGAAAATTGATCAATGGCGTCTTAATCAATGTTTACAGCTAATTGACAGTGATTGTACACTTATGCTTGCCTAAATGATTTATCATTCCTTAGTCTACATGAAATAAATGATGACATGTCTTTTGGCCATTATCACATTTGTGATTAGATAATTCATTTTTTAAATTAATTAAGCCCAATTAATACTAGGAAAATTTTTAGTTTGCTAGTAATCAGAGTTATTTTAAATTGTTCTTCAATTGATAATCTAAAGTAGAGTTCCCCAGACGAATAGAACAATGGAAATTACTGGCATACATAAAGTAATTTGCAATGATGAGCACAGCGTGGAGCACAATTTATAATTTGTTTGACAACTAATATTTTTTTATAGCTATGTCTCCTCAGTGGACAAAGCTCTTAAGAGCTTTGAATACACCAGTGAATGGGCAGATTTAATATCAGCCCTGGGTAAACTCAATAAAGTGTTGTTGGGTAATATGAAGTTTCCAGTGATACCAAGAAGAATAAAGATATCTAAGAGACTTGCACAATGTATGCACCCAGCTTTGCCCTCGGGTGTTCATCTCAAAGCTTTGGAAACTTATGACATTATATTCAAATGCATGGGTACAAATAGATTGAGTCATGAATTGTTCATTTATAGTGCAGGTAAATCCAAGTCTGTGTCTGCAATAGAATTAGCATAGTTTTGTTGTCAGTTTGGTTTATTGTGATATTTCAGAGCTACAAAGAGTATTCCCTGCCATTAAACTTTTAATTCTATTAAATAAGCTATTTTATTATTGCAAAATATTTGTTTCTTCAATTAACAATTTATATTTGATTGATTTGAATAAAAAATATTAATTTATTGTTGCTACTGTCAGCAGCATTTAATGAGTTTTCAAAGTTATTTGTCAATATATATTTTATATATTTAAAATTTTATCTCAAAGCAGTTATTTTAATCACTAATAAATGAAAGCATTATGATAGAGCTTACTGATACATTTAGTGAAAAAGAATATTATCATTAAAGTTACATTAAAAGAGACTTTATAAAGTGTTTTTGATAAGATTATCAAATTACAACTCAGCTTTGAAAATTTTATGCAACTATTATTTTTAAGGTCTCTTTCCTCTCTTGGGTAATGCAGCAATGAATGTAAGGCCACCACTGTTGACTGTCTACGAAACGCATTTTGTTCCTCTTGGAGAAAGACTGAGGCCAGGCTTAAGTGGTTTTCTTAGTGGAGTACTTCCAGGATTAGAAGAAGGTTCTGATCACTTTGACAGGACCAACTCGTTATTGGAAAAAGTGTGTGAAGGTGTTGGTCCTAAATACTTTTATGCCTGCCTGTGGGACTGTTTGGCTTCAAATTCTATAATACGACTGCCAGCCATATCTTTTGCATTATCGCATTTCAATAAAAAGTTACCAATGGAAGATCAAGTCTACATGATGGGAACAAACATTGACATCATGGTAAGATTACTTTCCATTGACTCATTCTGTTTTGATACATTTTTAGCTTTTGTACACTTCTTGCAAGATTCAATAACTATAAAAAATTAATAATCAGCTAAATGATCTCAGAAATATGCTGTAACAATAAATTTCGTCATTATTATCACAGAAACCTGTTTCTACAAGTTATTTTCTTTAGACTTGACTCTAGTAGATGAAAAAATCCACATTGGTGTGAAGATTGTATTTTCAAAGATAAAGGCTGATTCAGCCCAATGTTATCTTAAGTATAGAAAATACTTTTACGACAAAGAATTCACGCGCTATCTATGTTTATCTAATTTTTGCTTTAACGCGGCTTATCATTTTCTAATACATAGTGGTTAATCTGATATAAAAACTATTGAACATTTAGAAAATTTATATGGTCAAGTAATAATAGAAGTTTATTTTTAAAATGAATCATCATGGATTCCGATAAAATAATCAAAGACAATATTTTAATAAAATTGATAAAGTAAAATGATATTAGCGATATAAAGAGATATCTTTTCGGATAAAATTAGGTGACAGCGTTATGCGCCGGAGTACAAGACAACTCGGTGTTGGTACAAAGGAGCGCTCTAGATTTGCTACTGGTAGGTTTTCCCGTACACAACAGCCAACTATCGAGAAATGATATGGTGCACATACTCACGGCTGCTCTGACGACGATACTGCGACGTGACATGAGTTTAAATAGGTATCTACTCACGGCTTTTAACACACCATTGTCTTTCATCGTGCCTGTACGTTTCCTTTTTATTGTTTCTTTCCGTTTCAAAGACGGCTGTTCGCATGGCTTCTTGGCACCGAAGTAAACACGTCAATTCTGAAGAAAAAAGCCAACCGGGCGGCAACCGAGAGCGCTGCTGCCTATTTCGAAATTTATTCCAAGGACATGCTGATTGAGGCGATAAAGTCAACGCTGAAAACCGTTTGCGAGGAAAGCCCACAGGATTTGAGGCCGTACCGCATATTGATCTCGCTTCTCGATAAACCCGACATCGGACCTGTTATTCTCGATGATATTCTTTATGAAGTTTTCAGGTATACTTACGATAAAAATAGCAATGGGTAGCTTTCAAATTATCGTCGTTTTCTTCATTAACTGACACATTGATTACACCTTCGCAGAACGTTTTACAACGCGGTAACAGGTAAAAATGCAAAATCAACCGAGGTGATTAAATCCGTGAATTTATTATTCTCGACGCTAGAGCCACAGTACGTATGGATTCACTGTGGTTATCTCTTTGAAAAAGCATGCGAAAGTGACAATAATAGTCGATCGCGGTATCAACGAAATTTGAATCTTCAAGAGCCACTCGTGAAAATCGTCGGTAGTGGTATGCCCGAATTGGGTGAAGTATGCGCTTTAACAGAATTTTTGTTGGAGACTGTTTCGTTGGATGGCTTCATCGACACTCCATCTGAGCATTTACCCAGTTTGTTTCACAAAATTATCGATAAATTGTCCGGCCGTATCGATTGTCTCTCACCAACGGAAATAACCCAGAGCTTGAAATTATGCGGCAAGATACTGGCGAAAGTGCAACCGGCCGTATCTGCAAGCTCCAATCTAGAGAAAACAGATGGCGAATCTAAAACAGATATTAACGGTACCGTCACCTCTGCTGATAGTGGATTGGTTGCTATTCCATTGGAGAAAAGTCAATCTGATAGTAAACTTAACAAGCCAACCGAATCGGCAAACCATTTATTTTCAGAGCGGAGTCCTAGGTAAAAATAATTATGCTTAAAAAAATTTTGTTCCATGTGATTACTTCATCATCTTTTCTTTTCTAGTCCACGTAGAAGAGCAAACTCAAACGGCGCTCCAAAGAAGAATGACAAAAAGTCAAAAAAAAAATCCAGCAAAAGTACATCCAAACTGTCAGACGCCTATACAATTTCAGCGGACAATGGAAATATTTCCGTTGTAGTCAGTGAGGATGCTAAATCCATCAACCGAAATAAAAGCATGGAGGATCTAAAATCATCGAATTATCACAGTTTGAGCGTAGATTCGAAAAATTTCGAATCATCAATGACCTCGCTAAATTCACAAAGTAGAGGTCCATCGCCAGCTCAGCAAATACAGCATTCGATGCTCGAAAAGTGCCTACGATTATACGAACAGTTCTACGTTAAATTAGTCGAAAAACGTATTTTGGATAGGGAAAGATTGGTGAATGAGTTGTTTGAGGATTTAAGAGTATCGTCGAGCAAGGATAGTTTCGACGAACGCACAAAACACTTGGAAAGATTGTTGAAGTCTAAACTGGATTTGGAGGACTCGGGATTCTTCAATCAAGAGCTGTCATCGCCTGGCGATAAAGTGTTAGGTGAGTCACTCGATTAATAATAGAGAAAACGTGAGTTAATCTTTCTTTCAAGGTGCAAAATGGCCCGTTATCACGTTAAACATTGAAAGTTATTTCAATTGGTGTATACCTTTACATTATATACATTTAATATATATTTAATGCGTATACATTTAATATCATGCATTGAACAACTTGAAATTTACATCGTGTCGAGAGTGATACAAGCTCGTAAAGCCTTTTGTAGATTGTGATTAATATGAAAACACGGCACAAGTAAACCATAAATTCATTTAATATCCGTTTTTTATCGATTTTACTTACTGAGATCCTACTGATCGTGCATCTGCGTTATATCAATCGCAATAAAAAATGCAACTATATAATTAGCGAATTTTTCGCAATAAACTCTAAATGTCCGTTATGATTCGTTCATTAGATATTCTGCATCTATACGTCGAGTCGATCGATCAGTCCGATTGGGAGGAAGTGCTAAAAGTAGCCTCGAGTCTATTGGTTGAATTATCCACTTTCCCGACATACTTTTTGCCGGGTGACGGTGGCCTTTTCGAGGAAGAAGAACCACGCGGTAAAGTTATCTTACCCGAATGGCTTAAGGTTCTAATTGTTTGCGCTTGCTGGCTGGGTAAACAACCGTCTCTGCAGCTCACTAGCATCGCCACGTTTTTGGACTTAGTTGCATTATCGAAAGCTCACAGTGACTCGGCACATCAATCTTCACATGGCGAGGGCATCACAACGGTTGTCATTGTCCCGTTATTGAAGCAGTGGCACGTGTCGTTTTTGAGGAATTACACCAATGTTTTTCAAGTATGGTTCAATTCACATTTTCTACGCAGTAAATTCTTTTTAATCCCAGTCGTATTGCGAAAAAAAAGAAAATACATAAAATGTAGTAGCATAAGCTAAAGTAAACTACTCGAGCTTATTAGTTACCGATCTCGTTAAACAATGAAACAAACGTTTTAATTTGATTGATTGTTTACTTTCAAAATTACAGATTCTTGCGCACTCGCTATGGCATCATCTAGGCGAACTTCCTGTGCATAAGTATAGGATAAAGTGCGTGGAGCTTTTACACGAGTTGCATCACGCGCTACATGATTCTTGCGACGCGGTCGAGGACGTCATTGGTTCGGCTCTCATGCATGAGAGTATGGAAAAGAGAATCGAGGCGTGCAATAGATTCTCGACACTGTGGCACTTAGGTCGTGATATCGAGGCAAATCCACGATTGAGAGGTTTTCTACGAGGTTTCGACAAGTGAGTTTTATGATTTACCGTATGTGAAGGCTCGACAGTTCTATTTTTAAAAAAGCGCCTAAAAAAAGCACTGAGTTATGTCGAGCGCTTTCCGCTGCTTGTGGATATTTCTTTTTAAATTTGCTAATTCTGGAGGATGATTTGATGCTCTGAAAACACTTTGAAATGTTACTTTTGCTTAACGACTGGAAATGTAAATTGATTGAGTTAGACTATATAATTCGCTTAATTTATCTAAGCAATGAGTGTATATACTTCGCCAATTACATAAAGTGATACAATTTACATAATTTATCGTTTTTTAGATCACTACTCAAGTTGCTGGACAATCTGCAGTTACCCGACAATTCACCCTTGAAGCTTCAATCGCAGTCGTGGTTGTTACACTGCTTAGTGCGCAATGACATTTCGCGCATTGTCAACCCCGTGCTTATGATGCTACTTGATTCATCGACCTGTCGCATGAGTGTGCTTCACGTCAGCATTCAACACAGCAATATCGTATTGACTAAGAGTGACCCTCAGACGCTACAAGAGAAATCCGAGAATATACAGGATGAGGCAGAGGGCGCGACAAATATCTATGCCATTAGCTCAGTTGACGGTAATGTCATCTATCATGTTAGCAACGGACAAGAGGATCGTGCCGATGATAAGAAGTGGCGCAAAGGTATTTTTAGAAATAGTAATGTCACGACTCATATTCTTACTACTTGCCATTGATTACTATTAATTGATTAATGTTTCTTTTAATTTTTTTTTTGATAAGGCGGACGTAAGAAAAAGTCTTTGATCAATCCGGTAAAGGTGAAACGTATTTTTGCTGTGACAACGCTTACCAACGACAATAATGGCTCTCAATACGTAACTGAACGTAATCAAACAATGAAAGAACTGGAAGTTCCGCCTAGTATATCCGGCAATAAGAAGATATCGGTTTTCGTCAATCCTCTCTCAATGAACGGCGGAGACAACTTTGATTCGCTTCTCGAAGATGGTTCGATAATATCAAAGAGAAGTAGCACTGGCGCTACTTCGAACGTTGCTGTAGAGGAAGTTTTAAAATCGGCGAGAAGGTTCAAAAAGCCAGAACTTGCCAGGAGCTCCACGGGTAGTTTGGACGAGAGTCTGTTCGAGTCTGTCAATTCAACCCTCGCAAATACGACGAAAGTAAAAGAGAAAAGCGAGGATATGAAGAAACTTAATGGAGACATTGGATCTTCATCACTGGACTCTATCACAAATAGTATAGAGTCTAGTCCTGAAATATGGAATAAGATACAAGTAAACTTTATCCAATATTCATAAAACTTTGTTAACTTATTCGTCGTAACGTGTGGCTAATGGAATGACATTTTAATTTTAGAAATCTAAGAAGGATATTGTAATGATGCCGAATAGCGCGAGGGAGATAGCGGGTACATTGATCAAAGGCAAGTACAACGTTGTAAACAGTGAGTTCAACAATCCTAATTACGAGGTGAACGATGCCGTTGGAAGCTTTGAGGCTACAAACGAGATACCAAGTTGGACGATGGGCGACGAAGAGAACGAGTTGGAAACGAGTACAACAGCCGAGGAATATTTCAGCAACTCGAGCGGTGTGAGTGTCGTTGAAGAGGTGCTGAATGATGTAGTAGACAGGGTAATTGAGATGTGCGAAGCCAATCAGCAAAATAAAATTGTAAGTAGTTTCTCTTTTAAAAAGGAATCCATTATGAATATACGGCATTTAATTTTTGATTCAATTATGATTCTAGAGCGAAGAATCAATCCAGCTTGACAGTGGTGGTGTTAAGCGTAATAGTACCGGTGGCGTGGGTGTACACAACCTCCACTCCCATATGCTGCTCTACTGTGGTGTTTATGATTCAACTCGCAGTCTTTATGCACTACGAATCCTTCGTAATGAATTAATGACCAATGCACGTATGTTCCTCTTCGCCGCAGCAACAACTGGTGTTACCAATAATCCGCGCAGTGGCCCTTTGCTAAATTTGCTCGCGCGACACCGAAAAAGTGTTTTTGGTAGAAATTTTCATGGCGATATTGCCAATACGGAATTCTTGGCAGCCTATAGAAGTAGCATGTACCTGGAGCTGCTAATCAGCGTATGCCTTTATTTTGCGAGAAGTTACTATCCGAACTTGGGACAAATGAGACTAACACAAGAGGAAATCTCAGGGAATAGACAGGTACTTTATTTTATTTTGTTAACTGGAGTTTGAAAAAAAAAATTATATCGATCGAATTGTCATATATGGGGATTTGTTTCAGGTTCAATTAGCAAGCACAGAATTACTGACACTTATATTTTCTGAGCTGATACCTATAGTCCGTGATTCTGGCAAGGGCTTCAGTTGTTATATCATAGATTTATTAACGAAATGCAAAGTCCAGAAAGTTGCTATTCATTGCCTCGTTTCAAGCGTTTTAACGATGAAAAATGCACAGAAAGATAGCGACGAGGTTTTCACTTTTACTGAAGAGATAATCCAGTTCAATGATCCTCTCACGGAAAATGATGTTAATAAATGTAAATTTAGAGCTAGCGATCATACAGAAGCCTTTCAAATGCAACTATTAAGGTACTTTACATGTTGCCTTTGACCTTTTAAACTTGACTGAGATATAAAATGAGCAGCAGAATAGTCAATGTTATTACACATGTTGTTGCAGGTTACTATTATCATTAATAATGTTGGAGCATCAATGTGGAGCACAAAAGAGCGAAGAAGTGGTGTCCACCACACCGACACCGATAAGCCCATACAAAAATGCTCCGAGTTTGACTGGAAACACTTTAAAATACATTTCAGGAGCACCGATCCCGCAACAACCTATGTTTGTTGCAAGCATACTTAGTGCTTTGAAACTGGTAAATAGATGAAGTAGTGTCATTTGGTCAATGTGTGGTACCATTGAGTTAATTAATGTTTATATTTTTAGGAACATATGAGGCACTTGCATCAGTATTGGACAACTTTAGTGACATCTAGTTTACCTTTCATGGGCTCTTCGTTAACGCAAATAGTAATGCCGGTCATTCACCAACTTTGCCATAATATTGAACAATTGGCATCATATTACGTTAACGAAGATGCACTTATTTCAACTAAGAAAAATGAAGATATTAGTATGGTTGAATGTTGCCTACCTGCTGATTACACAGTTACGCATTTGGAAGCTTTGACGTTTTTAATGCACTACTGTTTGCTTGATTCTTCCCAACAGATTGTCTTTTCATTTAATCAGCCAAACAGTGCTATACAGACTGGCTTGTCTGGAAATAATCCTGGGCAAATCTTCAACAACCTTATTCATGTTTTTATGCCTACACCTCTTGCTACAGTAAGATTACATATTTTTTCGATACTCCGTGCGCAAAGTGCGTCTTTCCCGCACGCTCGCAGAAAACGTGCATTGAAAATCGCATTTTTCACACATATAAAAAAATACGGTACGGCACATGTCCGGGAAAGAGTTTCGTGTACCTTTCCACCCTCGCTTCGCTCGGGCGTAAACGCAACACGAGACAAGAATCTACTTTTCCGCGCTTGTATCGTAATGTAATATTATTAAAATAGCTGATAGCGTTTGAAATACTAATTTCTACGATTCTCTATTCACAGGAGTCAAGTAATCCAAAAGATAAGAGCTCTGCGAATGAACAACTATTAAATGCTCGAAGAATGGCTTTAAGTCACTTGCCTAGAATAATTGCATCATTGTCTGCACTTTGGCAAGCTGTACTCGTCACAAAAGATAAGTAAGTATTATTTGAGATGTCCAGTGATTTATTGAAATTTCAACAATCATCTGTCCTTAATGAAAAAAAAAATTTCTTGTTACCATTAATAAGTGTATTTGCCGAAATCAGTGTGTGAAATATATGTTATAGTGAACAGGCAACCTGTGTAATTGGTAGTCCTCGCGTAGTAAAACATCAGTTATTAGAGCTTCTTTCACCCATCTCCTTTCACCATGGTGTGAATTTCTTAGCTGCAGTTGCTGTAGCATGGCATGAAAGGCGACAACCATCTAGTTCTAAAAAGGTAACTGTCGATCATTAATCTATTCTTATGATAATTAAAAAAAATATTCATTGCTGTTCTACTTTTCTATTCAGATATTGCCAGAAGCTTGTCTCAATCAGCAAATACTGGTGCAATTAGTCAGTGCAATCAGAGTCATGCCAATAGATACCTTGGTACAAATTGTGCATCAAGTCATTAAATCTCCACCGCCAATTAGTGGCGTGAAGCAAGATTTCTCATTGGAAGTATCCGTTTTGGAGTTATTGTATATCTACATGCAAAGCAATACGTCTCAAACACTTGTTGAATCATGGGCTTCGCTGTTGGGTTTATTGAAGGATGGATTATCTTTGACTGCGCCAGCACAATTTCTTCTATTGGCCATACTCAACGAATACGTACAAAAGTGTCCCCCCATGCAAGAGAAAAAGGACATAAGAGACTTGCAAGATGTTTCAGCAAAGGCAAATACTACTAGAATAAGATATAGCAATAATTAATGACAGTTGATTAATTAACATACTTAACATATTATTTTAGTTAGTTGAATCGTGTTCTCAAATAGCTGGAGCGTGTCTCGAGCAAACCACTTGGTTGCGACGAAATTTAGCAGTACGCGAAGACGTTTTGGACGTGTCGGAAGGTTTATCCGATGGCAAAGAAGGAAAGACTGGCAATGGTAAGAATATTTTAAAACTTGAATATTTATCTTACAGATCATATAGTTTATAACGTTTCTTTTTTTTTCAGTAACACCAGGTACTCCGCCAAATTCGGCATATAGTGTTCAAGCGCAGACTGTACTAGCGGAAATTCTGGCACCATTACTTGATGTCAGCTATGGTTCGCAGGAAAAGGAACGAGTTGCTACGCTTTTGACAAATCTTATGTACAATGTTACACCTTATTTGAAAAACCATACGTAAGTCAATTGAGTCTAAAATTTTTGGCATTAAATATGGGAATGATTTTATGAATTTTTCATTTTTGCAGAACGAAAAATATTGCTTCGTTCACTGCCTGCTCGCAACTTCTTAGTTCAATATCTGGCTATCCGTATACGCGGAAAGCTTGGCGAAAAGATGTTGTAGATTTGCTATTAGACTCAGCATTTTTCCAAATGACAGCTGCTTGCTTGCCTTTTTGGAGGACGATTATTGACAATTTGATGACGCATGACAATACTACATTTAGAGATTTGTTGAGTAAGTTTAATTAACTATATTTCTTAGTTATTATTTAAAATTTAAGTCATCATTACTAGTTTTGAATAAAATTTACAGCCAAAGTTTCAGTAGCTCAAAGCAGTACCATAAGTATATTCTCATCGAAAGAGATAGAATATGAGCAGAGAGCGCAACTTTTGAAAAGACTGGCCTTCGTTATTCTCTGTAGCGAGATGGATCAATATCACAAATACATGCCTGAGATTCAAGGTAATGCTTACGATCATGATTCAAAGACGCATTAGTTTCTCGCCTTTCTAAAATTAATAAAATTTTATTCCGCGTAGAACGACTTGCTGAAAGTTTACGTTTACCACAAGTCATTCCTTCAATTCAAGCGCAAGTGTTTCTTTGCTTCCGAGTACTTTTGCTCCGCGTTTCACCGCAACACGCAACGTCTTTGTGGCCGGTCATTGTCAGCGAATTAGTTCAAGTGTTTTTGCACATTGAGCAAGAACTGTCAACCGACACGGAAGAGTTCAGGTAAGGACTTACTTGCGTTGTGTTTCAAACTTATGCTTATTTGCATTGTTTTGATATTAATATATCATCATTTGTCTTTTTAATTAATTCAACTTTATAAATATATTTTGTGAACTAGTTTATTTTTATCAATTGATAATTTGTTTGTTCAAATTACTAATAATCGACGACTATCACTTATTAACCCATCAAAAGTTTTCATAAAAAAAAGTTTGTTTTAGGAATAATTAAGTCATATGCTTTTTAAATTGGAGGTGAATGCTTACTGGTCTTTCTTTACGCTTTTATCAGCATCATTAATTATGGCATCAATCACTGTATTCAATTACCTCAAGTCCACTATAATTTTCCTTCACTTACAATAAATATAATCACGTACCTTACAAGCTGCTTGAGCGTTATTTATTAATTTTTTGTGCACTTAGTATTACACGCAGTTAAGAATGGTCATTTGTAATTTCAATGGTTTAACGTAAATTTGAAAAAAGTATGTAATCTATTAATGTGTATACTGTAGCTTTTGTTGGTGGTTGTTTCTCGTTTACAAATGTTGACTTATAAATAGAATAAAAGTTTAAACTAGTAATGATTATTACAAATTCTAGTTTATTATTATAGCCAAGCAAATTTAAATACATTTAAATAATAAGTAGACGGTTATTAGCATATATTATTATTAACTCAACATACAAATACTTTGACATTGAGACAATTTTTTAAAAGTACTATAATTATAAAAATTACAGTTTACTTATACATATACAATCATTCCCCTACTAACAGTCGACATATCCTAATGATGTGATGTTTTTTCGCTCTGTTTTGGCAACTTCCGATTTGATGGGGATTTTTCGGTGCCACCATTTGGTTGTTTGGTGTTGGGACTGTCAGTCGTCAGAGCAGGTAATACATCAAAAATTATGTCTCGCGAAAGTTCGTCTCGTCGGCGACAAGGGCCCTTTTCAATTGTCATTGCTAAACTATCCTCACATTTTCTCTCTCTCTCTCTCTCTATATATATATATATGTGTATATATATATATATATATATATATATATATATATATATATACAATATTCGTTTTTCTATTATAAAAAGAGTAGAAGATAAGCTAGTGTAGTTTTTGTGTAAAACTGAAGAATTAGGCGTTTCATTGCAACAGCTTGAGAGTCTCAATAAAAAAAGTATTTACTATCACTACCATACTAAAGCCTACATTTCAGTAACAAAGTCTATCCGGTTAATAATAGTTGCAGTCTTTAGTACTGTAGCAGCTTTGCCATTAAGAGAAAAGAAGAAAAAATTCGAGTATATTTTTAGAATGATGAGTACACAGATATAGGTTGTACTAAATCACAACACATTTCTTGAACAAATAGCTCGCACATCAAGCTTTTGTCAGCGCTGGATTCGTCATGGGCCGTAAACGCCAGCAATGGTCTTCAAGCGCACGGACATCCACATTGGTTGCAACTTCAACTAGCCGCCGCCAAGTTGCTAGATCTTGCGCTATTGCTGCCCGCGCATCGACTACCGCAATTCCAAATGTAAGAGATTTTCCTTTCATATGCAATGCAATTTGAAGTCAAGAGTCGTAGTACAGTTCGTATTTGTAATTCTTTTTTAGGTATCGCTGGGCGTTCGTTGGAGACGCTGCATCAGGTATTACGAAGAATAATAGTAATTCTGATTTCGTGCCACATATTACTAGAATAGCAAGACTTATGGATAGTAAAGTGAGTATCTTTTTTTAGTAATCTTACTTTTGAACAAAATAGAAAAGCGCAATCGTAAGATGATCTACGTACGAACTTTAAGTGGTTGTCTTCGGTCCAACGATAAAGCATTAAAAGTTGTAGGAATATAAAGTACAAAAGCAATTAGACGCGATATTCAACAATATCCATCAGTTCCGTTCAAAACAAAGAAATCCATACACTCACACATTATATCCTAGGTGTTGAAAAAGAATCAACGAACGTGTTTGACAATTAATATAGCAAATAATCAGCGTCAGGCTGGCACTCCTCGGGTCTGACGCACATCCGAGCTCGTTCGTCGAACACGTAATTCTCGCGACACTCACAGCCGCTATCGCAGGGTGTATAACAGTCAACGACGTTGGGACGGGCACAAGTGAACTGACATAAACAATGCGTCCACACGGAGCGATCGTCGCAACGTTCTTGTCTCAGTTGCAATTCGTCGTAGTCGTAACCAGGGATTCGGTGCTTCGTGTAACGATAGACGCGCTCTTGAGGTGGCCATCTACTTGGCTGAAAAATAAGGACCATAATCATGGAAGCAGTTGAAAGATTTATGCGGGGTTAGGAAATGAACGCATACGTAGCAGCAAACTTGTTATTTACGATTGCACGTTTATGACAGCTACATTGATTTTGATTGAAAGTGTTCATCGCTAAACTGAATTGCTAATTGCGTGGTCAATTGATTTCCAAATCGAATAATGAGATCATCAGCCAATTCCAACCTCAACGGAATTGTTAAATTCAGTGACCGTGTTTAACAAGAAACATTCAATTGCATTATAATGAGCGTGAGTGCGAAAGCGCGATAGCGAACAGTTAAAGGTTTCAGTTCCAAGACGGCTGTAACAATACAGCTTGCCATTGTAATAATTAAGCCTTCATGATCAATCGAGAGAAAAATCCACGACTGTTTCTCTAACCGCCTTGGTGGTCGCGTCGCACGCGCTTACATCCGTCTCTTGGTCACTTTGCGTCTCTACCATCAGTCGACGACTCCTCTCTTCCTCGGACTCGTTCGCAATGTAAAAGTCATCCTCTGCACGTCCCGCACCTTGTTTTTCCGGAAGATCTTTGTAATAATAGTTAAAGTCATAGTCCGAGTCATCCGTGTATTCTGCAATGATGTTCACAATTACTTGAGGGATCTATTAGCTCTCTTGAAATTTGCAATTAGTCGCGACTGTTTTCAGTGGAATCTATGAGTTTTGTTGCGTTTGCTTCGTTTTAGCTTTTTACGTGATTTAACATTGAGTCAATCATAAACTACGATCGAATTAACAACGAAAGCAAGTAATGATTCAGTAGGTTATTTTCAAATGAAGAAACGGGTAAATTTCATGATTGATGCGAAAATGTAATCGTCGCTGTAAAATGGCACGTCTCACACGTGAATGAAAAAAAAATCAAAGTGAGAGAGCACTTGAGGCCCAATTGAGACTTAGTCTTGCGTAAACTTGACTATATGAATCTGAAAGATAATTTTCTAACGAGCGAACTATTAAGCTGAAGTTCATTGAAGAATCATTTCTAACAAAAGCACGCGGATGGGAGTTTTAGCATGCCCTAATAGTGTAACGCGGCGCGTCAAAAGTGCTTTTGCCGTTGGCCGAGCCACGCGTTCTTGGAGATTCGTGCTTTTTGACAGTTCGGAAGGTATTAACACTTCTGAAAGAACTTTAATGATCTAGATCCACTTCCTTTTCGTAACTAATTTTTAAAGGGTTTTGTTAATGAATTTCATAGTGTACGTATAATGACATTTTCGAAAAATCTCAGCTAAATTTATCTTGGATAATGACAAAATAATTTTTTTGCTTGTGTCGAGTGAGTCTCTTGTTGTGAATCTGACGAAGGCTCCAATTGGGCTTACTTTACTGCAGTACGTAATTTGACTGTCACTAAATTTGGCTTCTTTTGTGAACGAATTGTGAGCTCGCGCGTAGATCAATTATGAGGTAATGTCTTATCAAGCTTTTGACGTCATGTTAATTCATCGTACAAGAGAATTGCAGCCTTTTGTCATTTAAATGAAGGTAAGGTGACTTATCAACGCGCGTATTTCAAAAATAAAATAAAAATTTTTTAAGTAATTGGATCGCAAACTGTAATTAACTGTAAATTACAGTCATTTACGAGAGCGCTCTAGAATCTGCTCAATTGATGAGAGCGCGAAAGCTATGCGCGTTGTGCGCGATTCCGACGACCGATCTTAGACATGGTCAGCGAATTTCCGGAAATCGTCCGATTGTTCCGAATTCGCGGGTTAGCACGGAATCTCCAGGGAGAGAGCTTGCAAGCACGACATTACTCACGGCTAAGACTGGCGAATCCAAACTGCAGAAGCAGGCAGAAAGTCGTCGCGGCGATTAAAGATGATCTGGCCATGGCGGCGTCCGAGCGCGCACTATGCTCTCGCTCGGCGCCGAGTGTTCGGGCGAGTGCGCGCGCGGCGCGAAGCTCTCGCCGCGATGCTCCTGCAACAGAGCGATTTCAATTTTGCCGCATCGCCTAATTAGAAGAGCGGCTTGGGCGCTGCTGGCTTTTCAAGCGCAGCGCCGCTCGTACCTGGGGACGTGTTTCACTGACGGCCAGTCAGAGCGACGCAGAATACCGTAGCCCGTGCGCTCGGCGTGAGACCGTACGGTATAAATAACGCCCGCGGCTGGACTACAGCCAACTATCCCGATTTTGTTTTGCCGGAGTTTTCAGATTTTGCAGGTGATCCGTGCGCGCTCAACTCGCGTCTCTTTTCTCCTGCAGACCCGCACTACTCTTTGAGGAGGAGTGCTCGATGGTTCTTCTGGTTCTTCGGGGAGTCGTTCAAAATAAATGCGTTTTAAAAATGACAGTTGACGAAGCGAGAACGGAAATTAGTCGCTGTAATTACTAGCATCAACGTTTTCTTTTATCGCTTTTTTCTTTCTCGAAAAGCTCGGCAATAAAAATTTTCCGTTGGTTGTTCTGCTACCTTGATGCGCTCTTCGTTCTAGCGAATTATGCTATCAGGTAGTAAACAGAATGCTTGTCGTCGCAATGAAGCATTTGATAGTAGATGCCTCCCGGTTTATCGAAAACAATGTATCTCTAAGAATAATAAAAAGTCAATCGATGGAAAATTAGGACGGAAACTGCAATGGTATTTCATTTTCAGTTCAAAAACGGCGAATCGCCGTCGTCGCAACCACCAGGCGAACTGTTGCTCACATCGAGCAACATACGCTCGCTGCAAGACCTGCATCACTTCTTCGTGGCATTGAGTCGTCGCCGCGAGGGTACGTCGACGCAGTCAGAATCCCATCTGAACGTTGCCCAGTTAGAAGCGGTGATCGAGCAAGACTTTCTGGAGAAGATACCAAGTGTGCCTACCAGATAGTAGCTTTCGCTGTTATTCTCGCCAGGGCTGGCGTTCGTCTGATAATAATCAATTGTCAATCACGCATTTATTATCGTCAGGTGCTACTATATATATACACATGTGATCGTCATCGCGATAACGAGTGCTACTAATCAGAGCTTTATGTTTGTCCTTGACTTTGTTTGATTAGCTAGTCCTGAAGGTGCAGATTCTATTTTGCAGTAAGGTATGGATTAGTTTGCTTTCAAGACTGATTATAAAGCGTCTCGCTTTTTTTCTAGTTGCTTACGTTGGGAAATAAGTAACTAAAATTTAGGTGCTCATTCAGTTCCCTTAATTTTCATTCGCTTTCTGATCACGAGCACAATTTTTGCTGAACAAGTGTAGATATATCATTACACGTGATGTATGCATCGCGAGAATGGTTCAATTAATCATGATCACTTTGTTGATTTCTAAAGTACAATAGATAAATTATTTTTATTAGATTATATATACATTGTGCAGATTTAGAGAACGATATTGTGTGATTTATGTCGTACATGCATTCATATCAATAATGATGTTGCAAGTACTCATGTCAATTTTATTTAGACATTCAAATTATTAGAAAATTCAACGAAGTACTTGACTTCGTTTTAATAGTACATACAGTTTACTATTTAAATTGTTTTTGAATTTAAAAATATATCAAACGTTGAATTTAGCTTTCACGAGTTTGGAATGAAGAAAACTCGTGGATAATATTTTATACACGTAGAATGCTTTCGTTGAATTTATGTTGATTGTAAGTAGAATATCTGAATGTGAAATTACTTATAAGGATGTTGATAATATATGTTTAAGATGAAATCATTTGCTATTAAGCTTTTAATCGTCTCCTCATTCGGTTGTGAATACGTATGAAAGTGCAAATTCCGCTTGTGACGTGATGTCAAGAGAGGAAATGACAGAGTATGGAAATACATCTGCATGCACTGGAATATGAATTAAGGAATGCGACAAAGAAAAATCTAAAATCACGTCGTACAGAATTAGAAACAAAAAAAGTGTACGCCGCCTTATGATAATGTGCTGTTAGAAACTTGCCCAAAAGGCTAGACATAGAAAAAGGAACGTGTAGAGAAAAGGGAAAAGTATATATTTTAAAAATTAAAAAATGACACTGTACAAATATAATATAATGTATGCTTGTTTATTATAAAAGAACATGTATAAATGTAATGATCACGTATATGTCTGGCTCATGAAAAAATTTATATTGTAATATTTTTGTACTCACGTAAAAACTTGAATTAAAGGCCCTTCAATCAATTAAATCGTGACATTGTAATTATTTAAATTAAATGCAAAATAAATTGTCAGTAACACCAAATCCAAATGCTACTTTGTTTTTTCTCTCGCTAGTACATAGCCGTTTATACTCATAATCATTGAGCCCTTAAATTTTCTTATGCATACTATACGAATCATGTTGCTACGTAAATACGATAAAATATAAAACATTCAAGCTGCACGTAGACACTTATAAAAAAATTGTAAGAGACTTGAACGCATAAGATGGCTTTCTAGTTACTTTGAATTATAACTAATCATTCGATATTTTAATTTGTAGTACGGTATGCATCATCATTTTGCAAAAGAGCACGATAGGATCGTGCATTTCTGTATTATCAATGTAATTATTTTACGAGCCCTATAAATTAATTTTACAATACAATAAATAGCATATTCAATTTTTTGCTTTCTATTATTTACAATTACAAAATATAAATATAAGAGTAATTTTTTTGTTTCCATCTTCGAATTTGATCGAAATTAAATTAATTGAAAAATAATTTGAAAAAAAGATAAATTTTGATTGGAAAAATTAATGTTTATAACGTAGCATTTGAAAATTATAAACTTATCGTAAAGACATGCAAACAAGTATGATAATAAATTCATCAACTTCAGCATTGTATTTCTTATATTTAAAAAATTAATCATACTAAGTTTATTAGTTTATTCATTTTTATGGTAAATTTCATAGAATTTATAAGCTACACAAAAGTAAATATTATTTACTATTGTGCATACTTGATAAAGAATAAATATCTTTTGTTCCACGGTAACTCAATGAATAATTTACGAAATTTCGTGATATCAGCAATAAACTATAATAAGATCAACAACCAAGGAATGAACTGTATAATGTTCATTGTAGTATATTATCTAATTTCTAGAAAGTCATCTTGAAGTTATGAATAAACTAAAATTGTACAAAATAATTTGAACAATTACACACTAGCCTTGTTCATAAATTGATAAGACACATCGCACCGAGCATTGGCACGTTGCTCATCACGCAGCACGACTTTTTTTCTTACGTAAATCTAAAGCAACATTATCGCAGTACGCATTTATGATTTCGCTTTTGTCATGAACTTTCGCGTGCTGCTCCAACTCGCATTTAGACAAAAAGGCGAGACTGCACACAAAACACATGTGATTCTTGGCCAGTTGATGGAAGCTCATATGATTCTCGTAGCAGCGTTGCTGCTTAAAGTCTTTGCCACACATTTTACACACGTACCTGAGCTTATGAAACTCATGCCTTTCGCGCAGGTGCGTCATCAAATTGAAATCTTCGGCAAATGAAGACGGGCAATAACGGCAATTGTAACTACTTGCCAATTTGTTTTGAGTCCTCGTACGACTTCGCGTCGTTAATTTAAGAGCTTGTTTCATGCTCTCACTAACAATCTGCACTTTAGGTTTCGATGTCATATGCTTCTTATTTTCCTTCTTTTTAGGAGGAAGTTTTGATAGGTTTTGCAAGGTTTTGCAAGGTTTGTAACAGTCTTGTTCTTCTAAGGTAGTGTTGTGAGTAGAACATTTTTCAAATTCTTCATACTTTGCCTCATTGTTGGGTTTTTGTTTATGATCTTGTAAAACTTCTGTATGAGAAGCTTGAGATGGCAACTCTTGCTGTATAGGTACTAGTGCTGGTATTTGAAGCAACACTGGTGATTCAGGAGAATGTATTGGCTTTGTCTTTATATTTTGTTGCATGTGAATACCGTTTTGAATGTTCATTATTTGTTTAGTTTGATATTCACAGTCGTGGCACATGTAAAATTTACCTTGAGGTGGTGGTTGACTCTAAAAATTTTTAAAAATTGTTACTAATAATTAACCATATTTTCTAAGTATATTGAAAAATAAGGAATAAAATTGGAACTTCATACTTTAGATCTAACGACACCTGCGCATGATTTTCTGCAAAAATCACAGTAGTATACACTTTGCCAGGTAACAGCCATCATATGTAACTGAAATTTTTCTTCTAAACTCAAATCCTAAAAATATAAGGTATTTTAAAGTCAAGTATGTTATAAATACAGTAAATCAAATACAAATTTTAACAGACCTTGTCACAAATATTGCAACCCATTCTGTATATGTCAATATGTGTCATAAGATGTTCAAGTAATCTATCCTCATTACAAAAGACAATATCGCACTCATAACAAGTGATTCTATCTATTTCAATGACATGTTGAGACATCTCTAAAGATCTTCTAAAATCGTGATCTATAAAATAACTTTCTAAGTAAAATGGAGTCTTGATGACATCTTCATTATTGATAGTAACAATTTCTCCAGTTTTTGTAACAAAACAACACTCATCGTAGTTAGAATTAGTAAGCTCTATGTCTGAATCTTCTGACAAATCTTCTTCTGACCAGATAGGATCATCTGTCTCAAACAAAAATTCTATGGATTCTGGTTTTATGACTATAGTCTCAACATCACCTGATACTATCATATGATGATCTTCACCATCCATTCTGAACATTACTGAAAAATAATTTAGTTTTAATCAAATATTTGAAATTCTTAATTGAAACTTGTAACATTGTGTATTGATTAAGAGATTCCTAGACTATTTCATTCAAAGATTAAGCTTCTCTCATGGTAATCAAATGAATACTTACAAAAGTAGTTGCCTCAAAAGGCGAAAAGTAAAGTGAAAAGTAGAAACAATTCGGCTGCTGTTATTGACGTCTCAATCGAAGCAGAGCTCAGAGTCATTACAAGTGCGGAGAGAGCCTATCCCTGAAACAGCCAAGCGCGAGGCAGCGAGCGACGAAAGCGTCGAATCGAGTCCTCCGCGATAGCAAAAGTTGAAGCTCTATGTTCCATTATCACGTGTTATTGTTGTTGTTGACTTTTTTTCAACATACTCGGTACTCCGGGTTTTGTAAAACTATATTTCGTAGGATAAATTTCTTTGCAAGTCTACAATAATTCCACATGGCGCATTGAGCGTCTCTTTCTTTTCTCTCTTTCTCTGTCTGTTTCTCTCTCTCTCTCTCTCTCTCTCTCTCTCTCTCTCTCTCTCTCCCTCTCTCTCTCTCTCTCCCTCTCCTCTCTCCCGACTCGTTATATGTATATACCAATATCCCGCTCCCTTTCCTTTCCTGCTGAGTGTATCTCTCTCTCTCTCTCTCTCTCTCTCTCTCTCTCTCTCTCTCCCACTATCGTGAGTTCCTTTGTAGCTTTCGTTCTCTTCTTTTTTCTTTCCTTTCTCGCCACTCTCTCCTCTCCTCTCTCTCTCTCTCTCTCTCTCTTTTCTCTCTCTTTCTGGCCTCGGCGTTCAATAATATAGATGTACGAACACTTCATAAAAAAAATTATTACCTAACTTCACGATACATTTGTTTTAAAAGTTTTACGTATCAAAGGATTTCTTCGCGCGAAATCAAATTTCACGCGATGAACTTGCAATGTGTTATCACATTATTTACTCGTAGGATGCATGGCATTTTCATGTATGTATATATGTATATATATGTGCCAATGCTTTCCAACCTACAGTCTGTACATATATGTGTGTGACACACGTTTTTTATCTCGAAGCTGCACCTACATTGATCGACTCCATTCCAGGAGTCTGCATTATGCATAAGCTTCGTCTACATTTCTGTTATGATAACTAACAAATCTTTGTTCAAACAAATGAAGATTGATAATGAAATATTTTGTTTCATTCGTCTGCTATTTCAATGAAATTGAAATTATTTTTTCGCATAGTTTTAGAGAAGCTACGAGTATAATTTTACAAATATGAAAATTATCTTATTATGACACAAGACAAGAAAGTTTGCATACAAATGACACTTCGTTATTTCCTCTTGTACTGATCACAAATTTTTCAAAATAATTGACAAGCGTGCTGCGGTCTGAAAATTTTCGCGGACTTTTACAGCTCACCCACGCAGGCGCGCCATTGTCAGTAGTGGCAGTCGACTGTCGAGTCGTCTAGTACAGCGCGTGCGGCGGCGAGTAAAGTAGTGGCTAAGTGTAGTAAGCAAAAATTGCAGATGGACTCCATGGACTGGTAAGCCGCGAGATTGTTTTGAGTATAAAAGGCTTTCGAGCGGATTTTTTGTCGAAAGCTCTCCTGGAAGTTATCCAGTGCAAATGAAAAACGTTAATTGATCTTGCTTGGTCGTCATTGTCTCGGTCGTTGTATATTATGCCACAATGCAGCAGCTCCAAAAGGTACGTATACGAAATAAAAATGTCGTTGCTATGTATGTTTATACATCTACTTGACGTGGATTTCTTGGGGTGTAGAATCGCGTAAGAGAATCATCATTGAGGCTCGTAAGACGTGAATATTGGTGTATTGAAAAAAAATTAGGTTAGAAGCAAAAAATGGGTGGAACTGCACGTACGCTTATTATATTGAATAGAATTTTTTGTTTATTCTTACTTATTCATTGATAGATAGATACAGTTCTTAGGAATAGTCGTGCATTTCATTGTTGAATACTCTTCAACTTAAGAAAATGTTTAAGAGTATACAACTCATAGCGCTTAAGATACATTTGACATTTTTTGCCATTATTCGCTATATTTTTCTCCGGTATAATAGAAGAGTGATTTTAGTGGTTGTACATAATCGATGCAAGTGAAACCTTATAGATTTTTATTGATTAACGATATTAAAATTATGGAGCATTAATGTAGAGGAGTTTGATAAGCAAATTTACATGGCAGAATCGTGAACATATCTATCAATGGAGTGACGCAATTTCTTGTCAAATTATGATGTTAATCATGCGGATTCTGTTAAATAAATATAACATATGAATAGTATTTTTTTTTTCATTTAAAATTAATTATTCTATGAATTTATTTCGACAATTTACTTCAATTCCTTTCACTTTTTTACGACTCGTAACTCGTGGATGAGTGAACTTAACCTAGAAAAAGTTATGTTTTCTTTGTCCACTGATCTAAATTATCATTTTATGTATTATAATAGACGCTGATTTTCAAGAATTATTATTTAAATGTTTAATATTTGACAAATTTTTACCATTACTTAAGTCTGTAAATGCAACTGTTGAGTAGTACTGTTTCCTGAACTGTTTTTTTGATTGTGCTAATGTCAGAACCATTTCATGTTCCCAAGAATTTATTACAAGTTGCATAATATTTTTCGATAAACATATCTGTTTTTGCAGGTAATTGTCAACTGTATACCTTGGCTTTAAAAATGATTACTGCCGAAATATCCTCATTGATGCTGTAAGTTATGTGAAAAAATATATCATTCACTATTATAAGAATATTCCAAAACATCATGGAGTCCTTAGAAGAATCAACATCAAATCTAGAGAAGATAGACAATAAAAGTGATGATAATAAAAATGAAGACAATTCTTTGAAGGAAAATGGTATGCAAGAAACTTTACCAAAAAAGAAGTTTGCTAAAACAAATTTTGCATTGAAAATGAAGAATAAAAAAAAAGAAGAAAAATTATCTAACCTTGATACTAATGAAACTTTAAGTGCTTGTAAGGAAGTTTCAATAGATGTCACCCGTCTTAACTCAAATCCTGTGCCTAAAATAATCAATGCAACAGAAAATAAAATGCGTAGAAGAAAAAGGTCTCAGTGGAAAATGGGTATAATGAAAAAGAAAAAAAAATATGCAAAAGATATTAAAATAAATCCATTGAGTAAAGGACTGGTTAATGGCATTGACGAGAATAACCATACTAGTGAGAATATTAAGACAACTGAAAGTTTGAAAATAAAAACAGATGAATCCATTCATCTCAAGTCTGAAAAGAAAAAGCAACCTAGTGCTATTGATGGAGAAAGTTCACAGAGAAAAAAAAGTTTGAGAAGAACAATGTCCAGCATATCCGATGCAAGTGTTTTCAAACTTGAAAATAAATTAGATGCGATATATGTGGAAGAAGAAAATTTCAGTTGCAGAAGAACAGAGCCATTCATTGGGAAATTACTAACAAAAGAATCTAGGGATGAGATAGCTAATAGAATTTTGAAAGGAGAGACAGAGCCAAAAGTTGACAGTAACAATAAAACTAATAGAAAGGATGTTCCATCAGAAAGTAAAGAAAGTAGAACTGAAGGTGTAAATAAATCACTTTTTGAATCAAATAAGAAAACTGAAAGCAATGATAAAACTAATAGCAAAATTGAGAAAAGTCCAAAATCTACTATGATGGATACTAGCAAAATAGTGATCAACTCACCATCAACACAATCTGTGATGGATATTGATGAAAAAGTGATAAATCAGCCATCACAAGGATCCACATCAAAAATAATTGAAACCAAAGAAAGTGTTAAAATTGAAGAACTAAGTTGTAGTCGTACAATGCCGTTTGTAGGTAAAACTATTCGAAAACACATTGCTAGTGTACCTGAAAGGCTAATAGAAATCAATTCTTCAAACAATCAAAGCAATGAAAAATCTTTACCCAAAGAAGATACCAATAACCTGGATTCCACAGCAGCTGATAAAACTGAATTGTTTGATTTTCCAAAAGATGTCAATTTAAACATAGAGTCTACTTTAGGAATAAAAATTCTATCTGTATCATCTTTAAAAAATGATGATAGTGTAAAGGCTGATTTTCTATCAGAAAAAGTTGATGAGCTAGCCAATGAACCAATCGCCATTCCTTTAAAAGATACAAAGGTTGTTTCTGACTTTTCAAATAAAATTAACATGGATTCAGATTGTTCTACCAATAAAACAACAGCAAAATCAAAGTTATCCAAGAGTACAAAATTAGACACAGCAATAAAAAGTGTAGAAGAGCAAACTAATTCTGTGTCAGAAAAAACAGATACTATAAGAGAAAGAAAGAGGTCCTCTGGGAGTGTTAAAAAATGTTCTAATTGGCGCAGTAATGTTAGTGTAAAGTCAGACACCTTATCGGAAGAGTTTGATACAAAATCAATAACATCAACCTTTGCAATAGTGCGAAATTTCTGGAGCTGTCAAAGAGTAGTACCCTTTCGAGGTAAAAATAAACTACTTATCATTGAAGAAGCACCAATTCAGACTGAAGTACCTTCCATTGCACCAAAAATTAGTTCAGTTCCATCTAATGATCTAATTGCACCCCCTGAACCTACTTCTGATCGATTAGTTTCAAAGGAAGTCAATCAACTTCCTGAAAACACAAGTCAAAATGAAACTGAAAATAATGTAACAAGTAAAGATGGTGAACAATTTGACTCTACAACAGAACCTTTAAATAATTCAGATACCAGAAGCTCGACCACTTCACCAGTATTGAATGGTGAATGGAAATTCAGAAGAAAACGTCGAATATTGAGTTCAGATGACGAAAATCAGGTAAGTAATTAGATAAATTTATTTTATATTTATTTAGCATTAAAGTCTTTACTTTAAATTTTCTTTAAATTTAAATTTTAGGATGAGGAAATACAGAAAACTAAAAAATCCAAAGTCGGATCATCAGATACTAAAACTCACACTCCAAATAAAACTGGTACTCCAGTTCCTTCGCCTGGAAAAACTATTTGTTCATTTTTTTCAACCAAGTGTACAAAACATGATCATTCTGATAGTGACTCATCGTTAAAATCGACCGATGTCAAACCTGATGCTTACGTTTTGCTCACTAGATTGGAGGATATGGATGATCTTGCAATTCAAGAATATATTGCAAAGACTGATCTTTTTAGTGCAAAAAAAAATTATAATCGCATAATTATGAAAAAAAGTAGCAGTGATACTTCAAAGACGAAACTTGATAGAGAAAGACCTATTTCTAAATCAAGACAAGCTACCAAAGACAATCTTACTCCTCCGACTATGCAAGAAACAGCTCAAGAAAGTGATTCTAGTTCATCGTTCAGACCAAGTCAAGAAACCGAAGATACTAGCAGTCAGTCTACTGGAACGTCTACTTCCAGGTCGCGAAGACGTGCATCTAGTAGGACTTCTTCAGAATCTCCAATTTTATATGCTAAAAGAAAAAAGCGACCTGTCAATTATTTAGAAGAGTTTAGTGATTCGGATGAGGATAATCAGTCGTCTTTCAGAAAATTGAGATCGCAGGTCTGCATACATATTTTAAACTCTTAACTTTGTTCCATGAAATGTTACCATATAAAATAAATAATTAATCTTCAAAAATTGAATGTTTTACAGATTCGAGGATCAATATTACATGATCGTAACAAATCTGATACTCAAGGTATTCTGGATGGAGACGAGAATGACATGGAGGTCGAGGAATTTTCACGAGTTGGTCGTCAGAATAGAGTTGAAGATTCTAATCATGAAGACTCTGAACAGGATTGCTCGCGTACTCAGAATATGGAAGCCTTAGATGTATTTAAGAAAACTGAAATGAGATGTAAAAGCGTCGCTGAGAAAAAGATAATTGGTACTTCGAAATATCCCACAAGATCAAAGACTCCGCATATTGGCATGTCGATGGAAAAACCCATTAAAGTGTTTAGTACAAGCGAAATAGACAATAAAAAATTGGAAGAGGATCTATTTCGAGATCTTAAGTCGGTATGTTCTGTTTACAATAAGATATCTAGTATTTATTTTTATTTTTGTTTGTATTGTATTATATATAAATTATTTATTATTGAACAAAACATTTTAATTATTAATCTTCAGATGGAAGAAACACTCAATAAAGAGATGGAAAAGATGGGACTCATTCCGTCTGGCTCAAGTAAGAGTACGTGTCAGAAAATTCCTAGTCTCAACCATCAAATTTCTAGTGAACAGTTACCTTCAACACCCACTGTTTCCGCAAATAAATCAATCACGCCTAAAAAAATTCTGAGTACACCTCAAAGTGATAGTTCACGAAGTGGTGCATCTACTACTTCTCGAAGGTCTGTCACTTTTCAAAAGAATAAATTACTATCTAAGGTCACAAAGTCTGCGTCAGAGCTTATGGAGTCTGACAGGAAGAAGGAAATGAGTACAAAAAACATTAGGGTATTGTTTTCGTTTTTTTTTACTTAATAATCAAGTAAAAAAAAGACAAACTGACATTAGATTATTCTTTTTCAGGTTCAACTTATAAAATTGGAGGCGGTATGTAGCGATTACAAGGACTACTCAGCTGGCGAAATTGAATTGCTGACAAACAAGTATATCGACATGCTGATGAATTCAAACTTTGCATGTGACACTTGGCGTGTCAATCCGATTAAGCTTGCAACATCGTACACTCGTACGGTTGATGTACGTGGTGATGGAGATTCCGATATGGAATCTCAAGATAACGAACCATTGCCATTCGAGGAGGTACAAGTTCCTATGGATTCTGTCGATATAAATGCAGAACAAAGTACCATTAATGAAAGCCTGAAACGCAAATCTCCCAAAAAATCGAACAAGCAGTCCGCCGGGCAGTCTGCAATCTCATTGCTCTCCCCAGAGACGAATTCACAAGAAAAAACCTTCGGGGCAATCAATATCTCGGAAGTCTTGAGTCAGCCAGCAGCCGTTGAAGAAGATGCTGAGAATATGAGACCAGTCGATTCGAACGCGGAATGTGATACCCATGAGAATAACGTTTCGGTCGGACGCATGAAAGATTCTGAAATGATATTAGTCAATGGAACGGAAGTGCATGCTTGTACTCTATGCAACAAAATTTTCACGGAGAAACAGTTACTTCAAAAACACGTTCATGAAAATCATAGTACTGCTGAAATATCCTGCTCTAATACAACTGTTTCTTCAAAATCTATCGAAAAAAGCGCTCCAGGTCCTGCATCGTCGAAGAAAAAATCAAAGAAGTTGAAACAAAGTAATAGCAATAATCTCACGTGCACTATATGTTCAGAAACGTTTGCGACAAAAGAACTGTTATTTGATCATATAATGACGCACAATGAGAAAGACCTTCAAGAAGCTTATAAGGCTGCTAAGCTCGCTAAACTTCAACAAATTGGCGAAACAGAAGACACAGACGAGGAACAAGCCCAAGGCAAAAAGCAGAAGAAGAAATCGAAACATAGGAAAAGTACCGACAGTTCATCAACAGCAGTCAGCACCGATGAATTGGCTATTGATGATGCTAGAGTCGCTACTTCATTAGTTGATGCAATTTCACAACAGGTACAGTTTCAATATACTAAAAAAATATACACACATTTAATAATATTACATTATAAAATTTAATGAATGTTTGTAATTTTGCAGGTTTCGGGCTTGGATGTTTCAGCCACCACCCAAAGTCTACCAGTCACATCTAACGATAAAGTTTTAACGGTATGCCAATGCCATGTTCACGAGTTAACAACTCAAGATTTACATATCGAAATGGTTCTACTTTGCACGGGTTGCAATGTCATTTATCGTCGCCGCGACTGCTTCGAGGTGCACTACCGTACCAGTAATGAGTGTCGTATCAAGCGTTCTAATAGCGAAGTGACCAAATCTCCAAAGCTCTTCTGCAGTGGCTGTCGATGCGTTTTAAACTCACTCTTGGAAATGCGTGCTCACTTGGAGGAACACGCCGAGAAAAACTGTACAGGAACCGTAACTTTTCTATGCAACATCTGCAAAGTGGCTTTCTTTGGTGTTGGAGGGATCTTTTATTCGCATTGGTTCAATCATACAAAGTCGCCGAATTTTGTTGCTAGTCGTTACTCATTTCCCAAGTTGTCAGTGGTTTCTGTGTTAGAGGACGTTAACGGAACTATGACAACTAGTAAAAGTCAGGAAGGATTCTTTTATATTGCTGAACATGTTTGTCGGGAGTGCAGGTTAGTTTTATTTATTTGAAATTAAAAATGTAATTTTTATTTTATTTATTTATAATTATTTTACTTAATAGATTACCATTCAGCTCAGACCCTGAGCTTCAAAAACATAAGCAGCATCCTTGTCAATCTCCCCAATCTGTCATCCCACGAGTAGAACCACCGGAGAACAGTCGGCTTCAAATGATCAAGCTCATCTGCGATCTTTGCAAAAAGTATTACGTCAGCAAAGATAATTTCGACAAACATTGCAACGATCGCAACCATCTTAAAACACCTATCACAAAGTTCTCTCGGCTGCCTGTCTCCAATACTGAGCAAGTGTTTGTCTGCAGTTTGTGTCGTGGCCTTAGCAAGACCTTAGACGAAATGAAAGAACACTGGAAGCGCGTGCACAGTCCCATAATGGAGTTGTACACTTGTAAAACTTGTAACGTCGTGCCTTCGAATGACGTGGCCAACTACACATACGAGAAGTTTGAACGTCATTGTCGAATGGTACATAAGAGCGAAGTAATTACTTGTCTCGTGTATTTTGTTACTGCTAGGTACGTGTGCAATATTTGTAAGTTTGGTTTTGAGACCGAGAAGTCAATGAAAGAACACGAGTTGGTACATCAGAAGAAGATTACGACTCAAAATTTCTCTATGCAAAATTCAACGGCTCCGTTACCTTTGGCAGCCACACAGACTGCAACTTTTTATGTGGCTGATAATATACAGGTGGACGGAGGACGAAGATTACACCCAGTGGTTGTGCAGTATCCTAATATAAAGGGAACTCTTGTTGGCCCAATGACAGTGACTCAATTGCCAAATCAACCACAATTACAATTACCTAGTCAAATTAGCCAACCGATTCCCGCTATTGGTAATCAAATAATGCTACCAACAACGAACATGGTGATACTGCCAAATGCCACGGCTGCCAAACAGGACAACAACACCGAGATACGTAGCTTATTACAAGGTGCACTTCAAGGTCCAACACAACACTCAAATGTGGCTCTTTCTCGAGATCAACAACAATCTGCCACTGAGAAGGTCGTGGAAACGATAGAGCTCGATTCAAGGTCCAACAGTCCAGTGTTGGATTCATCAACAGCAAGTACTTCAAACAACTCGAATTCAGTTGCTGCCGTGAAAAAGGTTTACATGACTAAAGTTAATCCAAATTTCGAAACGATTCTCAAGACAACGGCTGTCAACCAAGAAAATCGCGATAGCACCAGCACTCCGAATTCCGATAAAGGTCGACCTAATCGCAACGATAACGCTACACCCGCGGAAGTTGATACTTTGACTCCACAGCCATTTGAAGTGGTACTCGTGACAGACGAACTTAGCGAAAATTCTGATCAAGACAAAAATGACAATCTTGGCGCTATGTCAGATGAACAGCCACAGCAACAAGCTCCAGAAAGTATTGAAACAAAATCCTTTTTACGTGTTCGCTCGGTTGCCGAGCTTCAGAGCATAAAAATTAACTTGTGCTCGATATGCGGTCTGAGCTTCGAAACGCCTCATGCTTTCGAGCAACACGAGAAACAGCATCGAGCTATGGGTGAAATCGAGCGTACTACTCCTGTGCAGATGATTTCACCAATGGTCACACCGGCTAGCAAGGAAACTACTAATGATTCTCACTCTGTGCTTCTAACCCAAATGAAGCAGAAGTTGGCTTTGAACATGTCCAATGGATCAAACGCTTCTAACGCCAGTACATGTATGCTATATTGTAACATGTTATTGTAGAGTACATCGTATTCTTCAAAATTTATTAATTTTCATTTTTATTTTTCAGATATGCGTACTAGAGCGATGCCAAATGTACTTCCTCATCAACCTGTGTTACCGCCCCAACAACAGCAATCGTGGTATCCAACGACTAGCACTACCACTTCGTCGCTGTCAAACATAAATTATAATACAACCCAGTCGTTACAATCAATACCACAACAGAGTGTTCTTCGACAAGCAATCAACTCAGCACCGATGAACAGAACTGGCTACACGACTGTTCGGCCTCCACCTCCCTACCCTAGCACTTCCAATTCCATAGCATCTGGCCGACCAAGTTCCATACATCTTCCTGAGCGTAGTACGACGGGTAATATTCCACCGCAAACGAAAAGACCATCTGGCGCAGCAACTAGGATTCCTCAACAAAGTTTGCAAAGTTACGACGATATGGGCAACCGTCAAACCGTAAGTTCGGTTTGGGGTTACAGCTCGGTAAATAGTTTTTTGTTTGCTTGGTACTCTCTTATTTAGTAGTGTATAAAAATTTAATTGATCAGCGAAAGTGTCAATGAATTCATTTGAGCATAAGAGATGTAAGTCTAATTATATCTGAACTGACGTTTCAAAATTTCAGTATCAAAAATAAATGTGTACTGAACATTATCACTTGTATCGATAATGGTTGAGCGATGACTACGGCATGTTAAATTTAAGTTTTTTTGAAACTGCCTGAGCAAGACTAAAGCGTGGGCTATTACTATTATTACCTTCTGTTTGATACGCACAGAAAGTGACTATATAAATCACATATTTTTTGGAATAAAGAGTAAATGGTTTTGGAATTATTTAGTTACTTGCCGTAGATTATATTTTCTGTGTAATACTTTCTATGGGATATTATGATTCAGTTTAGTGTATACAATAGTATTTTTGCTTTGAACTTGCACGTGACAAAGTTATTATGTCTTTGAATATTTTTCCTAATTTTGCAACTTTTTTTAATAAATACTTTTTGTAAAGTTATCGCTAATTTAAAATTCTTTATTTAAAATAGGGTGCCACCGTCACTTATAATCCACCGCCTCAACAACCATCCGCTTCAAAAACGTATGGGCCAACTTCAACCACCATAAATTATTCCACAATGAACAGCACCGTAAACTACCAAAGCGTCCCACAATCGCAGCCACGACAACCGGCACCACAAAAGAACATCATTTACACCTGCAAGCATCCAAATTGTTTTTACCGTTCAGCTAGTCTTGCCGGTATTCGAGCCCACGAAACAATTCATTTATTGCCTCAACAAGGACAACAGTCTCAACAGCTTCCAACTACATCGAACAATCACCAACAACAGCAGCAGATACAGATGCAGCAGCAGCAGCAGCAGCAGCAGCAGCAGCAGCAGCAACAACTTCCGCGTCTTCTTCCCGTCAGCCAAATGCCCGAAAGAACTCGCCACGCCGTACCTACCAGTCGACCACCGGGTGTTTCTAGTAACACGGATAAACGCATTACTTGTCGCATCTGCAACTTGAATTGTGCAACTAGTATCGAATTGATTGAGCACGTGTCGTCGATGCATAGTGGTGCCAATCAAGTCTGTTGCTACGTGTGCGACTACTGTCCATCGCCGTTGATCTTCGACACAGAAGATCAACTACGTAAACACATGAATATCAGTCATAATCATTCATGTGAGCTTTGTAACAAGAGGTATCCCTCCAAAGAAGACTTGATGTTACACATGGAAGTTCACATGAGGAGAACTTGATGTCGACGAAGAGCGAATAATGACAGTGAGATCGAGGACGACTCTTGAGATTTATCACGAATATCTAAAGAGACAAACTGTGGAATTTTTGAATCTTAATGAGAAAAAGAGAGAGAGAGCGAGACGAAAGTTCATTCAAAGAATTGTAGTGAGTACAACGAGCTTTGCTCTTATGTAAAGCATTGCAAAACGTATCTATAGCCCTTTTTTCGTAATTGTAAAGATAGTTTGATTAAACTGGAGAAAAAGAAAATCTATCCTGAGCATAGTATCGGCGTATTGTTTATATTTGTGTGAATGCTTTGAATTTGTGCTTAGATCATTATTGAACTTTTGTTATTTTGAATTTCATATTATAATAATGTTTCCACCAACTTACTTTGATGTTTGATACATACGCGTAGTTACGACAAGAGGTCATTAATTATTCCACAATTTTCTGAAGCGGTGTATCGCTATATTATAGAATAATTCCAAAACACACACAATGTCGCCTGTTCTAGAGAAACGTTTGAACAAAACTATTTAACTATAAAGTAAAAGAGATCGTCACTTTTGTTATAACAATGTTAAACGTAAAGAAAATGAACTTGATAGTTGTAAAATAATTTGTAAAAAGAAGTTGCGCATGGATAATGTGAAAATCCTAAAATTATTGGAACAATTTTTGTAATTTTTCAAATTTCATAGTTCTGCAAAACAGTATCTAAAAAATCGTTGCCAGAAACGCCTGTTTGTGTTTCAGAAAAGAAATAAGTTAACTTTGTAAAATAAGTATAACGTAAAAACAGTAGAATATCTAATATCATTTTAATGACGACGGAAAACGTGTAACATTATGACGTCGAAATAACTTTGCTGAATTCACGATGAAAATTTTGATACATAACTTTTCATATATTTTTCAAATAGTATTCCGTAAGTGCTCATATTTAGGTTGATAAAAGATTAATAGGATTACTTTTAGATCGTTAATCAATATTACTATAAAAATTCTCGTTTGATTTTGTATTTTTAGACAAGCAGTTGAATATAAGTAGTCAAGTAATATTGTAGGTGAATACAAAAATAAAAAAAGTAATATGCTGCAAAAATTACTAAGTACATTGCTATTTGGCTGTAATAGTTTTTATTGAAAAAAAAAAACAATTATTTAGATTTTAGAAAACGCTGTTGGATTTTATTTTCATATTTCGTTAATATCAGCGTTTTCATGTCCTAAATATTGATAAGTAAAAAAAATTTACAAATTTTTCATTTCCAAATATGAAGAAATACAGCAAAATATTTTATTTCGTAATACTTTATACTTCAGGTCATCGAAAGCACATAAAATATAATTGAACCAGATTCCAATTTCGTTATTAATGAAAGAAATTATTGTATAAAATAGGTTCGAAAAGGCGCCTCGAAATAGCCATAAAAGAAATATACATTTGTTGGAATTATGCCGAATATATTCACGTAAAGATGTATCTAATTTTTGCGTTTTCAAGTGTATTTTACGTTCTTCTATACAAGAACGTTTAATTAAAAAGCGATTGATATTCGCCACTTTAGTTTATTATTTCATGTAAATGAATCATTACGACACCGCATTGCTGTAATAAATGTGACACTTTTTCTACATTTTTTATCTTATTTTTTTATACCTTTAATTTTTAACTTTCTGATAAGGTACTTGAATGGTCTTATGAAGATAATTTAATTCTAAGCTTCAATTAATACATTACTAATATGTATCATTAGATTGCTGTTGAAGATTTCCAGCAAATTTTTTTGTACATATAAGATTATTTTGTAAAAATATAAAAGTCTAAGTATACCACAAAGCTTTGGGTTCTGAATTTTATTTTTACCAGATAAAATTTTAATTTTATTTTGAAATGTTGACGTGGTTGCTTACAAGTGAGGATAATGAATGTTAATTATTTAATAAATTGATCGGTTATGGACTAAAAAATTTCACTTTATTTAGAGATTAGATACATGTTTTTACAACCACTGTGTTTTTTAAACAGTTTTTCGAGTGACTTATAAGTACAAAATAAGTTGTCATGTTACAGTTTATAATTCAAATTTTACATGAGAATATACAGAAATAAAAATAGTATGACTAAAATGTCTAATAATTAAAGTTAATATAGATACAAAATTGCCATGCCTAAAGATTATTTTATGCAAAAAGTTTGCTAGATTTTAAATGAAGAAACATGAAATTACAGCATTAAGCTGACTGATTTTTAATTTAACATGTAATCAACTTATCAATAATTTCATGCTGACAATAGACCTACAGTGAAACTATTTCATGAAAAATTTGTAAACATTGATTTTGGTAATTTTGCTATAGGACTAAAATGCGTATAATGAGCTGGAATGCATAATTTTTTAATCATCTGTACTCAAGCCTGAAAGCATCTGCAATTAGGCAAGAGATATACACTACTATACTGCATTACCTCGTTTAAGCTTTGGCACATAATTCACATTCGACGTCACTCGTTTACGGACATCCGTTCAAAAAATTACATTCTTTTAAAATTAATTACCTCTACTTCTGCATTACATTTTTATACTGCATACTTCTGTGTATTATTAATACATTTAAATATTCCTTTTATAAATGTGTAGATTTTTTTATACATCAAACGCCCAAGAAAGTATTAATTGCTGTTAGCGTATTACATGTGTATTAGACACTTTTGAAGACATGATTGCTGATTACTTTTTTATTCATTTAATTTTGAGGCACTTTTTAAAACTATAATTCAGACGAATTTAAAACAAACACTTAATATACTTTGTGGCCATTATTGTTTCGTTTCTGAAAATAATTACTAATAATCAAGCATAAAAAATAAAATTGATTCTTCTTATAAGAAATAATTACTTGCACCTTAGATTCTATTTTTAATTACAGTTGTGATTATTATGCGTTAACTATGCGATTATAGAATAATTTACAATGTATGAAGGTACGCATACCTTTTTTTCATTACGATCTAATTTCGCCGAGATAAATTATTTTTAATTTCTAATGTTAATGCAATCAACTTTGGTTGATTACCTTGTAATTATTACTCATATACATTTGCTCGCAATTCATAATAGACGGAAATTCGTTCTTAAATTTTAAATTACTTTTTAATACTGATAACAGGTATAAGATGTACGTTTTTGGTTTATTTTCCATACATTAATTTTCTTTTTATACAAAAGTATAGAAAATTCGCGCATTTTGCTAGGTAAAAAAAGAAATTCTCTGGGTGTAAAACACTTAGAAAAGTGTTAAAAAATCATTTGAAAAAGATACAACATTTTTTTTCAAATTTATCAAAGTGTAAATGTTTTAAAAAAGGTAGGTTCCGTGTATATAAGTTCCAGTTCAATTTTGATGCTTTATAGGAATTGAATAATATAGCAAAAAAAACTTATAATCAGGAATTCATATGAAAAACGTAACAAAATATCCATTGTCTATTTTCAAATGAAAGCAAACGAAAGGCAGCTTCAAGCAGTAATGGACTGTTTAATTAATGAAAATATTTAATAAATTTTCCTGAAAGGTGTATAAGGACTTACAGTCTAAATGTACATCAATTTTTTATAGTTCGTACCGGAAATTCGCTACGTAAAATTTGTTGGTAATCGTTACATTTTTTACAAAAGAGCAGACCATTTAAAAATTAGTAGCATTGACGAAAAAACAATATAAATCGAAATATCAGCTCTCTTGCTTTTGAATAAATACTCCTATTCTAAGTAGCTAATTAACTAGCTTGGTGCAAAAATATGTCTTTTTGTAGAGTTGTCGTGAATTTGCACATTTTCTGGACGTATTCCTATTTGTAAACACAACATTTTAGGTCACATGCTATAACTTTTCATATTATCTCACTCCTCGGTTATAAAATGTTGAAATTCAATATTATTATTGCCACATCACTGTGAAATCGTTTGATCAATATATTTACAAAAAACTATTCAATATGAATCAAACTATTCATTCAAATTAATCAGTTCGATGAGAGTTCAAGGTGGCTTAGGTATTTACATTAGGTAATGTATTTATATACTAAATCGTAAAAATACAAATTTTTTAGTATAAATAAAAATATTAAGATTAGGATAAAAAATTGATTTTGCATATATAAAAAGATCTATAACGCTAAATACGGTTAGAAATATAAATATATAGTACCAAAAACGCTTCATTGAAGAATATTCAGATAGGAATTCAATAGGGGTGTATATATTAGTTATTGCAAGACTTCTCCCTGATATATTAATTGATTAGGTTCAGACTTAATTGGAAATGTATAAGGTTAATGCCATTAGTGTGGCGATACGATTACAAGTTAGAGATAGCAATTCAGCCTTATGAAAAAGAAAGAAAAAGCTCGAATTAGTTAATACTAAGTTATTGCACAAAGTTTCATAACGGACCATCAAATGCCAACTAAATTGCACATTAGAGTATTGCACGCAAATATAGTCGAAAAGAATAAGCTTAAAACCTGCTGACAGCTTCGTCATCGAAGTAAGAACAGCTCTTCACCGCGGACGTGTACATACTATAAGTCGGGCTGACCAACATATGTCCCATTCCGCCTTCGAGACAAGAGGAATATCTGGTCATAGCAGCGTGATGCGCGGACCGACAGCTCTTATCCCTCCTCAACGTCGTCATCCCGTCAGGCCTCAGTCCCGTTTCCATCAGACTGATCGTTGACTTCTTCTGATGTTGTTGCTGCTGCTGCTGCTGCTGTTGATACTGCTGATTGCAATCCTTGCGCTGCAAGCTCACGCGGCACTCCTCCGCTCGCAACGGCATCGACGGATAATTTGGCTGGCGGGCTAAGGTCGTGAGCGCTCGGTCACCCGTGTCGTTGAAGCTGTCGAGAAGATTAGCGCTTTTGAACGAGCGTTCGGTGAGTTTCATGAGTGATAATTTTTAAGTATGGCGTTACAAATATATATTTCAAATTAAATCATAATCGATGCGAATTAGCGCTCACAATTCGCTAAGCTTTTTAACTCGGACTACAAATCTAAGACGCATGCAATGTGAGATTCGCTAATCGAATTTAATTATTCATCGGAACGCAAATAAAAGTTAAATTAAACGTGAAAAATCTATGCCTTACCTGTGATGCCTAACGATTCCACGCTTGATTCTACAGTGCTCGGCGCCAACCTGGCCGTGGGCTGCCGTGCCATGGGTTTTGCAAGCTTCGACACCGGGAATCGGTGATAACGAGCTTGGACCGAATGATCCGCTGCTTTGCCGTCGGTCAAATATATTGACCATTTCTACCGATGGCGTTGGTGAAAAAGTTCCCTAAAAATCAGTAATTTCGACATGAATCAGAATTTTCAAGTGTCTCGTTGATGATTGACGAAAATACGAACTTCCGGTTTGACTTTATTTTCACAAATGACAACCGATCGTTTACCCCATTTTGTTACGTAAATTTTAAGAAAGCGAATTCAACAAATGTATATACATTGCATTATCAGAATATTAGCACAAAAGTTAATTTTTTTAAATAAAATAAGATATAAGCGCGTACAGCCGCCATTGTCAAACGTTCCTGTTTATGGAATTTGTCGGCAAGCAGCGTCAAGTCAGTTAGCGATTGCTGCGTTCGCAAGTGCGGACACGCTAGGCTACGAAACAGATTTCTTTGCTTTGCCATCATAGACATATTTTATATTTCATTCTGAGAAGCTTATAATTATAAATAGTGAATAAATTAAATATTTAAATGATTACGGCTTTCGTTTGTTTGTGTAGTAATAATTTGTTTGTGTGCGGTTCGCATTTTAGAAGCAAAATAGTTGAAAGAGAAAAGTTGCAATTTTGTAAGCGAGATAAAATAAAATGAAGTACAATTAGGAGTATAACCACTAAAGGCTGGAATAACAAATTATCTTCACCAAATATATCCCATGGCAATATACATTATTCGATGTATGAAATTGATAACACTCAAGTGTTTCAACTAAACCGTGCTGCGTGTCGGTGAGTTATGTTTATTTATCATTGCAAATTCATAGAACCGTTATCGTAATTTTCTTATAACATTCTGATTGTAAACAAGTTTTTATCAAATTGTCAAAGTCTATCGTAAAAAATAGAAAAGTTCAGATAATAAGGTAAACATGCCTGCAAAGATGGCCTCCTAAGCGTCCCCCCCTCCATCCCAATCAACTTGACACCTTTTATGTTTTTCTTCACTATACCAGTACTGTCGGTAAGGTTCAGATTTAGTTCCATGTTGCTCCGATCTCCTGCTTTGTCCCCTTCGAGCCTCCCGTTGGTAAGAATTGTCGTAGGTACTTTTGCATAAGGTGTACCTGAGTAATGAAAATTATATTATTTAACTTATTTATTATTCAAATGCGTTAGAAATTCTATTTTCTTAGTATGGTTTCGGATATTTCAATTTAGTATTTTATTTCTACTGTTTAACAAGAAAACCTCTCTAAAATTAAAAATGCTCTAAATTAATAAATACGATTTATATTTGATCACCATCATGATACTCACATCATGTCTATTTCTTTCATAAAAAATCGTGCAATGAATTGATGTTTTATGCATTCTATCCTTATTTAATGAAATTTAATTATATCGTATTTAATATTTATAATAATATCTTTATAAGATGAAGCTTAACGGAAAAGGTACATTATTTCCAAGCTAACCAATAGACGGTGTAGTAGGACTCATGATCCTCGGTGGCTGAATGCAATCGCCAACGTGAGCCGGCGTAAGAGTCAAATTTTTTACACCCAATATCTGTCCAGATGCCACGGGACTTCCAATCATTTGAGCATAATGATGAGCAGCTTGACCAGGTCTTCCAGAAACCGTGGCGGTCGGCGTTTTCGGACTCATCGACTCTCGAAGATTATGCAACCCTTGAAGACTCTGATTGGCTTTATGAGCCGCACTACTGCCACCAGAAATTGGTGGTTTTGACTCATTGTACAGCACGCTTATAGTCTCGTAACGTTGTTGACACGATTGCTGTAATTGCGTGTCCGTGCTACTCGCGTCGTAATCCGTTCGACTGCTTGATAAGGTTCCCGCGTCCGACAGATGGCCTGGCGATGCGTCCTACGAAACGAAATTTCTTTTGTAATCAGTGGTTAAGCGTTACGCTAAATCTAACACAACACGTCGCTGTGTTATATATTTTTTTTATCTCGCGCGCCTCGATATTAAAAGTTACACGAATATGAAGAACATAAGATAGCGTAGTGTTCAGCGCGTGTAAGTCGAAGAAAAGCGTGAAAATGAATCACATGGACTTTCGTTTTTTTCTCAATCACTCACGTGCATCGTGCAATCGATGAGAGCGGCTCCTGAACTGCTCGGCACAACTCCGTTGGGATTTTTAGTACCAGCAGTGTAAACGCCAAGAAGATCGCAAAAACGTGGCAGGTAACCCTCGCCCAGAAGATTACGCGTGAAGAAACTGACGATCAACTGAGCGAAGATTGAGCCTAACATTGCTGCAGTTCGGAATGGAAATTTCTGCTCGTGGCTGCGAAGATCGTAGAATGGATATTCGACAAAGATTGGGATGCCAAGTTTGCTTTCACCGCCTGGGATGTTTTATCTTATTGTTTGTTTGTGCGCGCTCAGGTCGTTTTATCAGTTGGAAAATTGGCGAACTTACCGCAAATGCGAATCGCTAATGAAGCGGCGCAACCGGCGAGGCAACCATATGAGTCGACCAACGATGGCCAATGGATTACTGACAAAAGTTGAGGAAACATCACCACGTATGCCAGTTCCGTACCCAGATGCCTGTAAGATTTTATTTGTTGTAGTTCAATAATATTTTCTGTTTCAGTAATATTGACAATGTAAACTTTTGTTTCTAATCGTATTCCTTGCGAGAGAAGGTTGCATAGACTACTTACGCTAACTCATGTACACTTCTGACACTTAGAGCAACTCCAGCAGAAACGAACGAAACTATTGCGATGGATATTCGAAGAATCCAGTCCAATTCTCGTTCGGTAGCCTGCGATTAAATACAATATTTTTTGTTATTGCCTCAATGAAACTTTTTATAGCCCAAATTAATATTTAAGCAATAATGAATATGAAGTAATATCGATCATATCAAAGGAATGTACGTAAATACGCGATTCATAAAAGCTAGCAATTCAAGTGGAAAAGCTGTAAATAAAAAAACAGAGACAAAAAATAAATGAATTAATTTCTAATACAAAAAAGTATACCATCGTAATGTAACTGCGTGTAAGCACTGCTTTTATAATTTAACCATATAGAATATGACTCGGAATACTGGTATATATGAAAAAAGAGCATTACACGAGTAAAGGTGGTCAAAGGTAAAGCTCTTTTCTGTCGATTGAAAGAAAAAAATCGTATAAAACCAAGAAATACTCCATCGGTGACCCGACTGAAAAGTTTTGAGTCGCATTAACAAATTCGATTTATTGGATATGATACGCCTGGTCAGAAGAAACAAATCCAATACGTCGTACAGAAAATCAAACCAATCCCCAACACGGGTAGAATGAATTATTTTAAGTGCAATTTCATGTCCACTTGTAAAAGATAAAAGTGTCCATAGAAATGACATGAAATTCACAAGAGAAGTAAGGTTCGACAGTGGTCAATGCTTTTTAAAAAAGGATCCTACTGTATTGGAAAAATTATGCTATCTCTGTCGGTACGAATATCAAAAGTCTAGAAGTATATTTGCTAAAATGGAAGACCACTTGCATGACGGTCGCAAAATAGAATTGAAGACGTGCGGATCAAAGAAGTGATATTGGATTTAGAAAGGGAAAGGTTATTGTTGCAAGATCTTAGTGTTTCATCCTCCAATACGGCTTATTTGAAAGGTCCACTGGCTACGCTGAAATTGAGCCAAATTGCTGCGACAAAGCGAGAAAGGAAGAAGGGTCAAATAGTGTTATTTCAAGGCAAAGTGGAAGTGAGGAGTTAAGAGTCTAAGTAGTTTATAACTTTAAAAGGTAAGAAAGGGAGAAAGCTTTTGTGGAAATTTTTACAAGGTGAGTTCTTAAATTTAATGCAGACAAGAGCAGATAAAGAGGATAGGACTGCAAGCGCGTCAAAATCATTAAGTAATAAAATTAGAAAAGAAAGCGACGAATCATGCAGATTTAAAGAGAAAAACTCACCTTCGGTCTCATCGTTGACTTGTAAACGTTTCTTGAGAACAACGAACCGATGCTTAACATACACGAGTCAGCCAATGCCATTGCACCAGCCACAACCGCACCGAGCCCTGATCAAACAAAAAAATTGATTTCCAACATAATAGCATTCGCAAGTCTCACAAGCAATCTGAGATAATAACTCACCGGCAAACGAAACCCATTGCGGAGTGAGGAATTTTACGACAATCGGAAACACAGAATTACTACTTCTGAACCAAGTGGTCATGTTGAAGAAATCAACTCTCGGCCACTCGGTCGCAAGTGCAATGACGCCGATCATAGCGAAAGGCACGGACAACGCCAGAAAACCGATCATCGAGCCTATTGACAATGTTCGCGCATATGCAGCGCTTTTGATACTGAGTACTCGCTGGTAGTAGCCCTGCGACAATCGATAATGAATTATCTACACTTTCGTCAAATGTATATTTAATCTGTTGATCGGATATGTATATAAGCTCTTCAAACACCGCTTGGTCGTACGTCAGTTGAATACTACGTACGCTAGACTCGACGGCACACCGTGTAATATCGGTTTCGATATTAAATGTAAATATAGTTGGATCGATTACGAAGCTTACCCACAGATTCAGTGTTTATTCAAGTGACGTATCCGTAACTTTTTTCGTCCAATAATGTCTCGATTGAATTTCAATAAAAAAAAAAAAAGAAAAAAAACAATCTCACCTGACAGCTAATCCCGGCGAAGAAAGCGAGCAGCATGTAATCAAGCCACTCGCCAAGATCGTCGCTTCTAATCTCGCCGAGCCAATCCATGGCGAGTAGTTTGATTTCGAACGAGACTGCCGGATGAAGTGCTGCATAGATCGAAGCCAGCGCCAAACCAGCGCCAATGCAAAGCAGTTGCAGCACAGACGTCCATAGTACCGAGTACAGTCCTCCGCTCGCAGTGTATCTGCAGAAAAGAATATCAGCATGATACCGACGAGCCCTGAATAAAAGTATTCTTATGGCATATTGCGTTGCCGAAGCAATGGCGTGAAACGCCCGATGTATATCCCGCCTCTTGCGCTTATACCTTTAAGGTCGTCATCCCCACCCACGTGCCAACGCGGCTACCTGTCCAACTGTCGAGGCAACGAAGGATACCTGCTTGGCTTCCCCTCTACCTGTCTGTGTGACTCGCGAGCGACTATGCCGTGGCCGTGGCTTCTCCATTTTGTGAAGTGATGGTCTTTCTCCGATATTTAAATTTAGTCTTGTTAGTCCTGAATAACTTGCAGGTTTATCTTTTTCCCTTTTGTTTTTTTAAAATGCCGCTGTCGTGTGTTTTGTAATTTTGCGGTTGACTAACTTGAGAATAATTTATACAGGATTGCGTATCAATGTACTTTAGCTACCGTAGCTGTTTCGATAGAAGCATTTCGAAAATTCGTCGATTTAATATATATCGATAATCGTATTTGAATGCACTCGGTTATTAATTATCAAAGATTTGTCAAAGATTCTAAGAAATGCTTTACTATTGCTAACGACCAAGAACTAATGTTCTTTTTCTTTGCTGAAATGATTCCAAGATTCATTTGGTATAAGAAAATTGCTACGTCCAAACTGCAATTTCAAAACGTGTCAAAGTTGTCGTACAAGTGAATGGCTCGCTAAAGAAATGAGTCGATCGGCAAGCCAATGACGCACGTAATAGGAAAACTGTACGTGCATACTCACACGGCCACGAAAAGTGCAGTAACGCAGACGGCGATGCTCGGCTCGATGTTGGCGACGGCGCCAAGGGCAGAGCCCAAAGCCCTAAGCACAGCAGCACACCAGAACAGATCGTGCCACAGCGCCGGCAAGAACAGAAGTCCACCTACACGGGCTCCATAGTGCTGTTGGAAGGGCTCGAGCATCGTTGTGTATTCGGCTTTGCGCATCGGCTTGGCGAACAGCAGTGCGCCTAGCACGGTTAATTTCATTACCATCACTGCCGAAAACTTGTATAATCCTCCACGATCGGAGTTTACTCGGACAAGTTTGCTCTAATCATGATTTTGGACGTATAAGTTGGGCTTCGCGAGGGATTTGCGAGAGAGAGAGGGAGTTGTAGTTTGATTCTTTTCGAGTAGTTATGGCGCTGTTGGTTTATATTTTTAAACGATTATCGCGGGCAAAGGTCATTTCGAATCGTATGATTATATTAAAGTGGCATAAATGACCCTGTGACATGCATGATCTCGTCGGCACAAAACTCGCGTCAACTTCCACCGAAAGCAGTCATCCCAACAAGAGCTTTTCTCAATATATGCACTCGGGCAAGAAGAGAGAAAAAAGCCGCCTCGGCCGCGTGAAAGTGAAAAGCCACACTCTCACGTGTGTCTGTCGACAAATCCCTCTTGGCCTTGTCCTTCGCCTCATCGTCGATATTCTTTTATCGTCTTTTATACGTGCTTCTTTTGGTTGTTTGTTAAGCTTACCAAAGAGTAGGCTGAACCCATAGCCAATGGGTATCTGGCACCAGGCCAGGCCTCTGCTGTATATCTTGTCTGCGGTCCCATTGACGAAACTCGCACCGATACACGTTGCTGTAACATATGCGCGCGTAAAGAATTGATATTATTATTATGCCTATCGGCAGAGTTGTCTGCTAGATTTTAGCATCGACAATTCTATCTCGATTAATTGCGATAATGACGAGTTCTCAGTGAAAGGTTAATTGACGAGGGGTATGCTGTTTTAATATATAGGTCTATTGTCCACGTGTAATGAGCGCGAAAACGGCGTTGACTCGAACCATTTATATTCTATTGGCGCTGGGTTTATTACTTGTACATTTCAGTAGAAACCGTTTGATAATTGCTTTTCCGTTCCACGTGAAAATATACAGCACCTTTATCGCGGATAATTTTGCAGGAGAACGGTGTACATCATATGGAAATGCAACGCAAGAGCCAATTCCATATACCCATACTGTTTTTTTTATCTGTTGCTCCACCGGATTATCGTTTACGACTAACGTAGTACATTTGGATACTAGTGCGAGAAAGTGATTTGAGCGACGCGTGGTCATTTACTGAAATCACTTTCTCGCACATGTGTGTAACTCTTGATGTGTGCTTTCTCCCAAACCTGCGCGTAAATCGAGTCCTCGCGCCCGGACTGTTGAAGAAAATATATCTCTTGCATGATATACTTTAGCGATCGAAAGCCGATTTAGCAGCGCCGTATAGTGCTTTCTCCTCGCACGTAGAAAAGTGGTAAATCCCTGAAAATATTATACCTCCCTCCCCTCCCTGCAATAACGTCATCCTATGTATATAAACCAAATTCAATATATCGAACGTAGCCGCATTTCAATGTGTTTGCAATGTGATAGAGGGTGCACTTTGTAAAGAGAAAGTTTGCTCGGACTTTGATCACATTACAGCGTAACTGTGTTTTTGCGAGTAAAAAATAAAATTTTGCAGGAGATTTTTAATGAACCCACCAATAAAATTGTTATATTAATTATTGGCATCAAAATCCAATTTCGAATACACAAGGAATTATTATCTATACAGTTTAAGCCATACTAGTCGCGTTTTTAAATTTACACAGTAATAATAGTGAATCAAAGAACAGTAATCGTATCAAAGTGAACTTCTGTACCATATTTCTTCAGCGTGGCTGCATTATGCTCGTGAAAAAAGGAATTTCAAAACAAAGGTGTCTAAACAATTTTTTGAGTAATTTTTCGTGACCTCGTTTCACAGCTAACAAAAGATAACTACTGTAAGCACTCGTAAAGTCCCAAAAAAGAAAATTGCGATGCAACATTGCTTAAAACTGACAATGGTGACATAACAATAAAAACGTTGAACCAGCACTAATGAATTCGTTCATTATCAGCACTAATGCCGAATAAGTCCAAAAAAAAATTGATAATTAATTTCATGACTCAATATCTTGGTCCAATCTACATTCGGTTGAAAAAGTTCATGCCGCGTTCTGGTTATGCAAAAATGCATCTCCCGTGCGTTTCTGCCCCCCCCCCCCCCCCCAAAGTCCGTCTGTGCTTTTTTTTTCCAGCTCTGTGCGCGATGTCTATCAAAAGTCCATTTAGGAGTCGCCGTGAGGATGTTGCACTTTCCATCTTTGGCGCCGCTCGAGTGTTCTCCGAAGCCCCGGTCACGCATTCACTCGCCCATATATTCTCGATCGCATTCATGCGCCGCGGCTATAGCAGCTTCATTAGCGTAATGGTCCATCGCGATTTACAAAATGGAACGGGGTGTCGGGATGCGCAGCTGCTGGCTTTTATTATACCGGCGCGCTTTGCGTTGACCGCTTTTCAACGCTCGCGTGCAGCCTTGGTCGTCTGCAAAGCCTTTCGCGATAAGTCGAATGAATTAGCGCGCCTGGTATTGGAGTTTGGTTTTATCGGCGCTTGCGCCTGCTTTTTTCAAATTGGATTCCGATGCGACGAGCAAAGAAGTGGTTTATGCGGGCGCGTGACGATGCGCGAGCGCACATGGCAATTCCCACTCGCGTTTAGTTATATTTTTAAAGCGTCATCGGCGCATTGTGAAAGGAAAAAGTCGCGAGAACGGGAACGAAGCTCCCTGCTCGGCGTTAGTCCATTGAAAGTCGGAAAGTTGATATTTTTGAACGATTTGAATACGTTACCGTGGAGAAGTGTGCTACTCGCGCCTGTATTCACGCGCTACACTGATGCATAAATTGATTAATCGCGCGGGGCAAAAAAATATACAATAAAGCTTTGAAAAACGCCCGTTATTTTATTCGCGCGGAAAACAAAGTTTATTTGCTCTATTTTAACAAACGTTTTTTGTTTCTTTTTTTCTTCTTTTCATTAAAGAGCTAGTAGTCTTCGCATTGAAATAGCGTGAAAAAATATACGTATTCTTCGGTAACAGATAGCTCGCTCTTTTCATCGCTAATTAATGTATTTTAGCTACGAGCGCCGAAGCTTCAATCTTGTTGAAAGGGTTCGGCGTACTGGAAAAAAATTAATTCCATTTCTTTGGTTCCACTCGGCGATTTCATTCAGGTAAATGTCATTCATTATAGAGGCACCAGTGCTACGTCGCGCATAAACGGAACTTTGTTTGCGTCTAATTAATTCCTGTATAATCGATATTTTTCAATTTCATTTGTAGATTTGCTCGATGTCGTTCTTCTAATTCTGTTCTTCGTCGGTGGCCGCTGTGAAAACAGTAACTTTTCATCCCTCGACAATATCCAGCGAGTCGCACGCCGCAACAAGTACACACACAGCAGACGACCGGCAGCGCACTGCCACGCCCGAAACTTTCGCGGCGCTCACCGGGGCAAATTTCTCGCATTATTTACCGACGCGCGGCCGACTCGGGGCGCTGAAAATATTTGTCGCATTAAATCAGCCTTATAAAAGCTCGCGCGTACGTGCAGAAGACAGAGGGCCGGGGGAGTGGGCGGTTGTGTATTCAGATTTCCCTCGAGGTCGTCGCCGGCGTAGCGGCGTTTAATACCCGAAAGTCGAAACTTTGCCCGAGAGCTTCTCTCCTCCGCCGACAGGCCGTCGGCTGCAAGTCAATTGGGCGCGCGCTTTCAGTCTTAATCATTCCGTGGGAATTTCAAACGCCACGGCGAATCCTTAAGTACATTTTAACACTCAAGCAAGATTGCTTGTCGACGTTTCATGGAGATTCTATTTCACGGGATCGCCTTAACCTAATTGCTTCTTCGACGTTGCGTATCATTCGATTAAGTTTACGTTGCCTTTCTTTTTACGACACGACACTAGTTCTTACCTCGCTAATTAGAGGCATTGATCGACGTCGTTCGTCGTAGATGCTCCACCGTAGTCGCATCAATTTTAGGAAACTGGAACACGCGACTCGGCGAAAAAATAGAAAAAAAATCCTAACCGTATGGGTGCTCGTTACCGACTCAGCTGCCGGTGTTGCTGCTGCGAACGGAGCAGCACGTTTCCCCACGTGTAACAAAGTTAATCGAACGCTCGCGCTCGCAAGCACGTCGCCGAAATTCCAGCGAGTTCGAGCCAGACGAGTCTTCGTCTGCGATCAAGCGAATGAACAACTCATATTCCTCAGGTGCAACATTTGCGATTTTCGAAAAAAGCCGTGACAATTCTTAATTAAATTGAACGTACATATACACGCGCGTACACGTATATATAACGAAAAGGATGGATCTGCATATTCGCCAACTGTTTGGGCGTGTAGGTGCTCCTCATAATTAAAAGATCGCGAAGGGTGGCAGTGGTGGGCCAATTAAGCTACCGGACGGTACTCGTCTCTGTTTTCTGGACTTGTGCTCGCGATGCATTGTTCGCGGCTTGCGCGAGACGCGCACAAAGGCCAAAGGCCACTCGACTCGAATATCAAGGACTGTGGGCGCGCGCGCGCGCAACTTTCTTCTCTCGCCCTTTCTCTCTCTCTCTCTCTCTCTCTCTCTCTCTCTCTTTCTGCCTCTTTTTTTCGATTTTTCGGCCGAGAACAGCCAAGGAGTTGGTCGGTGGCAAGTAATAAAGGCCCCGCGCGCGTAGTCGCTTTATTGCACTCGTTTCCATGAAATCGGATTTAACGCTCGCCACTGCCTCTCTCTCATTCCTAGCACAAGCTCCTTCTTCGCTTCTTTCTGCGCAGCTCTGCCTAGCGGGCGGCTTCCTTCATGTAAATGCCCCGACGAGCGAGAGAAAACAGTTTTCTCTTGCGCCCTTTGTCGGTTACTCCCAGGAACGATGCAGTGAAGCGGCTGGTCCGCCGAGCTTTAATGGTTCGCGTGGTGAACAGTCGGCATTTTCGATTGTGCAATTGCAGTCCGGTATTGTCGCGACGGGTATTAACTCTCGAGCGCCAATTATGCCAGCTAATTGCCGCGGATAAATTAGCCGCGACGACCACTCGTTCGTTACGATTTCCATTTCAATTAGCTTTCTTGCGCGCGCACAATAGGGCCGGGCAGTGGCGCGGCAGGCACCGCACTACGACATACTCGCGATATTTTACCGCAACTGTGCAGGTACGGGGCTACCTTCGTTTCGGAATAGCGCGGCTGCACCGCGCTGGCGCCGCTACGTACGACGGATAGTTTCGATGCGATACACGTATAGCGCGACCACAGGTGGATCGCGCCACTACACGGCAGTGGCATCGCGCGCGTACCTCGCAGCGGAGATTCGTTTGCCGCAAAGAAACGCCGCGAGCGTTATTCATTCTCCTCGGCGACAAACGGTTCGCCCGTCTACGCTGGTTTGCAGAAATGTGACAGGTCGCGTAGCTTGAAGGATGAGATTTCACGCTTTCGAAAAAGCGTAACTGCTTGGCCGAAGCAGTGTTGGCGCTGCAAATAGTCCACGTACAATTTTTTCAAAGTAGCGGCACTACAGTTAGTTTTATAAATTAACCAACTTCATGTTGAATTTCTAAACGAATTCATCAATTTTGTCAGACGATCTCTTTTCAACTATAAAACTACACATTTTATCAAATGTGATTGCTTATTTTACTTCGTTATACAAATGTTTCAAGATTTATCTGATACCAATTAATAACGTATTTATATCGTGATTTATAATCATGTAAGAATGTTCAATACCTCCTCGCAGCAAAATTAGTGTAGTAGGTTCGTTTACGCAATGAAAGCTCTACAATACAACAACTAACATAAATAAGGAAATACTAGAACAAGGGCAATTTGTAACAGTTTATTGTATCTATTGTAACGTTCATGGTTTATTTGAGTTAAAGATGAGTTGCTAAATAAATTTCATAGTTTAAATTTCTGAAGGGCTTCCTTTCTTGAAGAAAGTGAATTTAGTAAACTTGGTGAATTCGCGCGAAACAGCTCAATATATTAGTACAATGAGTCAAAAAGATTCTATTAAATGCAAAATCATATACCCTCGATTCCTAAAATCCAGGTAATTAGGAAGTCAGCCCAGTGAAACTGAAAAAGAAACCAAAAAAAAAACAAAAACAGGCTGCCGGAAGGAGAGCCGAGCGAGTGAAAAAATCAAGGGGACAAAGCTAAATAGCAAACGTAATGCGCAGACAGAAGATTAGCTTACCAACGAGCGAGAAGATCCCGAGAAAAAGTCCGACCTCGCGTCTAGCGAGTATGAGTTGGTTGTGGGCGGCAGCTAGTGGCTTGCGCCTGTTGAGCGCCCCAGCCCAGACGCCCAGCCCGAGGAGCAGCGCATACAACGCTGCTAAACCTGCCGCCCCTGGCACGTACATTTCTCTCTCACTGCCTCTGCTGCAACTGCAACGCCACATTTATTACCCGATTAACGCCGCTGTTGCCGCGATTTCGTTGCACGCTGCGACAGAGAGGAAACTTTTGCAGGCGCCATACATCTTATGAACATTATTTGGCGATTTATGGCGCTGATTTTTACGCGGACGTCAATTTTCTTTCTATTTTTTCTTATTTTTTCTGCTGATGGGATTTCGAAACACGCGCTATCTTTTTTTTCTTCTTGAAAATATCGCTTCTAATTATTTTCATTCCGACGGTTAAGAAAAAAAATAAAACGTGTAGGCGCGGGACGCTAAGTGCTCCCCGTTACTCCGTTTTTTACGTAAAACTTAACGTCTGAGCGCCGCGGGAAAAAATTCTAAAACGGAGAATTTTTCATTTGAATGAAAAAGAAAAAAAATTGTTCTCGACCTTTTTCAATTTATTTGATTTTTAAATACTCAAAAAGGTGAAAAAGCTTTTTTTTTGTTCGAAACGACATTCACTTTGACACACGCTACTTGCGCGATTGGAATGAATATTTAAATCGGTTCAATTCCAACTTTGGAAATACAATGTGTCGTGTCCCAAGCAAAACTTACAAACCAGCTTTACAAATTCGTAATTGCAATTTACACTCTACGTCACTGTTAAAACGGAAAATATTATCCGAACTTTTCAGTTGTATTCGCTCAAACGCAATCTTTTACTCGGAAAGGAAAAAAAAATTGACAGTATATCTCCGCGGGTGAAAAGTTTGGCAAACAAACGCGAGAATGAGTGGTCGAACAGCTTCGTTCGATTTTGCGCCTTCAACGTGGCTTCCTCTCTCTCTCTCTAGTTTTTTGATTTGCGAGAAAGTCTTTCCTCCAATCTGTCGATTGAAAATTGGAACTTCCTCAAAAAAAATCCATCGCCTCCTAGCAACTTAGGAAAATCGTAGGTAAGTATCGGTGAAACTAATGGATTGTAAAATCAGCTCACGGCAGTGCATTTCGATACTCGGAAAGCTCGGTGCGGCGAAAGGCTCAATTAAATGGCGTTGGCTGCGTGCGCAAAGTGTGTACAAAGTGGAGGGTGGATTTGTAGAGTGGCTCGCGGCGCAAAACTTAACGAGGCTGTATTCCTTTGCGAGAGAGCGCCCAGACGAGCTTTCTTTCTTTTTTAGATTTTTCGCAACCCTCGACTTTTCGTACAACGCCGCTGCGCCGCCATGGAATTTTTTCCTTTTTTTAGGGATTCGCGTTCGCACTGCAGATATATTAATCTCGACTCGCCGTGACGACGATGGAGTGTGGGAGCGAGTCCGACTTTTTTTTAACTGGCAGGGACTTTGCGAGTGAGATCTTGTGAGCGATCGTCGGCCCTCGCTCGCTCTATTTGATTGACTTTACAAGGGGCAGTCCGCGAAACTTTCGAGGGCTTTGTTAATTAAACTCAGCGATTTCTCTCGCAATGTCGCAATAACGTAGTGGCTGCTTGGAGAATGAAGGATTGTTCCTATATAATCTTCAGCTTCAGTAATCCTTGAATGAAATTTTCTTATCGTTTCGCATTGAAAGAAACTTTATTTTTGGAATGCGACAGCATTTATCTGACGGCAGTTGGAGTACCGCAAAAAACTTGGCTTAAGAACATAAATCTGACTGCGTTAAATTAGCGTTCAGTCCTTGAAAACAGCGTCGACGATGCGAAAAGAACGATTTCTTTGTCAAGTCATTTCGCACTGCGCGTAGCTTTCGCGCTCGCCGGATTTCTACTTTCTTCCACCATCCGTCACTTTGGCACGGTAGCTTCCTTTCTTTCAGCGTCTACGCCCAGTATATTAAAGCGCGCGCAAAAAAAAAAAAGTACGTAGAAAAGCCCGCCGACTGCCGGAAAAATGCTTCGCTCTGTAGACTTCTTTGCGGTTGCCTCTCGCGCGGACGAGAACGATGCATCAACAGAGCCAATACTGTCGTGGATCGAAATACATAACGAAAAACTGTTCTTGCAGAACACATAGTCAAAAGTCTGTAAGATTGAATACAGGGAGTTGTTGAATAGAGGAAGCGAGGAGTGACTTTGCGGAGCGCTGCACTTGTTACAAAAAAAATGGATACGCGAGTCTTTCGAGCTCTCGCTCTGATGGAAGAAAAAGGGAAAGAGAGGAACTTTTAATCCTATTCTCGGTTTTTTTCTTCTGCTCTGACTCTTTTGTCCGCTCACTCGGTTTCTTGACAAAGAGGCCGGAAAGACAAAGACAATTTTTCTCAGATAACAAAATAAACTTTGATTCTTATAGAACCCTTTTTCCTCCTTCATAATTATTTGACAAGAGCTAAGTTACGAAGAGTCAATCTTGACTATTTTCAAGTAGGACAAGTTGAACTTTCCAGAGTACAAATACCGCGCGGGTTTACTTGGGAACTATACTCGAGAAGTACAATAGCTTGGTACGCCATTATCGTCGATTTTGTAGTGTACGTTTGCCTACTTTCGAGATGCTTGCACGATATAACCTTTTCGATTTCTACAATGCAATAAAGCGTAGCAGGACGACAAAGAACGAATGTTCCAAACGAATCCGGAAATCACAGGATCAAATAGAAGGGGAAACGAAAAGGGTAAACGGCTAGATTCGCACGTATTAACAATTGGTGAGAGTAGTTCGCCCTCATGGGTGTGTGTGTGTATCTCCGTAGCATGGCCTTATAAATGCTGCAACCCACGTTACCTCGATATATATGTATACGAAGACGCCCGCGGCGTCATTTACTATAACCAACAACCCTCTCTGATGTTTTTTTCATTTTACATGCCTTTTGTTAGTCTACTTGTGCTTTTGTATCTATGAGAGTTATCGTTTGATTGCTATGAGAATGCAAAGAAAAGGACCAACTGATTGTGAAAATAAAAATTAAAGCACTAATCAACTTCTATTTTATCAAATAATTATTTATTTTGAATATGTGACCAAATATCGAAACTCTCAATTGGCAAGGTTTTTATAGCTTTTATAAATATACGTTAATTTTTTTTTGGGATCCTCGAACTCACTAAGAAGAGTTTTCTGCATACAGAACCCAGAAGGGATTGAGAGCAAAAGTTGTGGTGTTGAATTTTGGGAGAAACGTCAGGTCAATGTCAAAATTTTATTTGTCAAGTATTTGTTAAATCGAAGTGATTTTTTAAATTATTTAAAAGATGCATTAGATCCACCACTCTGAATTATACAAATTTAACAAAGTTATTTAAATATTTACACTTTTGATTAACTGTTAGTCAAGGGGTTGAAGAAGCGTTATTATTGTGAAGGACGCAAGAGACAAGTGGAATTAATAATAAATTTTATAATTGCCGTAGCGTTTCTCGCGAAATAGAATGCTTAAAACGCGTTAAAAGCTTGTAACGAAGCACAAACAGAAACCGCAGCTCGGTGGAATCTCATTTGGTCCGAAACTGAAAAATTGAACAGCTAAACAAGAACAAATTGATGCTATATCCGCAACAAAGCTTCGATGGTATTAACACGCTCTCGGCGTGCCTAGACGGCCGCAATTTCCATTTTACAACTGTGCCTCTCCAATCCGCACCCTTCTATTAGCAATCACGCTCTTTGCCAATGATTGCAATTGCAAGCGTATTTTTCTCCGATCTCTTCTCTTTCTTTTTTCTTATTATTTTTTTTATGTGAATATCGATTGCCAAGCTCAAACATACAGTGTAAGAGCGTATCTCGCCCAATTATGGAATAGCAGCAGAGAGAGAAGAGAGAGAGAGAGAGAGAGAGAGAGAGAGAGAGAGCTGCGCAAACAAGCGCATCAACACGCATAATTCGAGTGCCCTGATATACGTAGTCACGGTCGTCTTTGGCAAACTCGTTAATTTCTACTGCGTTAATTTGATTGCCGCTGAAGGTGGATATCGATCGCTCAAATTATTATTGACTTTTATATTCGGCGCGGCTCTTTTTAATTATTGAGGCGAGCAACGATTGCCTGGTAAACGTGAAAAATGTAGGATGTTATTCCACGATGCTCTGTTCTGCGATGTGTGCAAGCTCGAGCGAAAATTCACGGTACACGCGGTCGGTCGATATTCAAAATAAACTTTCTAGTGGATTCTCCGAAACGAAAGAAAGCAGTGAGTGGTAATTGGCGAGGTACTCTGTGGGATTTGTCAATTGAATAAAACAGCGAGGAGGAGAGATAAAAGCTATCATCTCCGCCGCCGCGATCGGAATAGGAAAGAAATGTTTAGCATTTGCGGAGAGGAATCGTGCTGGCCAGTCGGGCAACTTTATTAAAAAGTCTAATTGGAAATATCGGCTGCAAAGAGCAAAGAGGGGGGAGGGGATGCACGGATGTCGATTTTTCGCTTTCGTTACTCTCTTTCGGGTTCAAGAACTCGAAATTGCTAGAGAGAGAGAGAGGGGGGGAGGGGCGGCGAGCGAGGACGTTGAGATTAAAATTCAAAAGTGACCCAGATATCGGCTATTCGGGTCGTGAACTTTGAGATGGACTTGCAAGCTCAGGGATATATCACGCGCCTGACTATCGGCTATCTCTTTCGCAATCCATTTATTTATTCACGAACGAGATTTTCTCGATACTGCACGGACACGCCTCACTTACTGCAAGTGCACATTTTTTTTGCACGTTGTCCCTCCGCCTGTTCTACGTAGTAATATTCCAAAGTTTTCGTCGTGGAGTGTTCTTGTTAACATTGGATTTCGTCGAGCGACTCTGATAACAGATTCAAAGTCGTTTCCGCCTTGAAAGATGTACGGCTCTATCAATATTTCACTGTAAATACTACTCCTTGCACGAGTGTCCCGATCAAATTTCAACGTCGCCACTCTATAACAATAGGTACATACTCTCTAGCCCAGTCTCGTTCCCCACCAAATTGATCCGATTCGTGAAGAAGCTCGCCACGGACAAACTGTGGGCCAAACTAAGTCAATTATTCCGTCGGTGAATGAGCTGTTGTTCTCCACTACATCCACTTTTCTCTCTCGCAAAAGCACCAGACAAATAACC